ATTTGACTAACAGGTCGAACAACGGATGTTCTTAAACCCTGCTGACTGCAATTGGCGATTGCCAAATAAACAGATCACAAGATGTAACAAAATAGATCTTTATTATTAATTTAATACCAAACAGACAACAATAAACGTGCGGAAAAGATGGTATACCGCAAACATGAGGTGCATATATATATATATATAAATAAGTCTAAATTGAAACAACGTTCAAACCTATGATTACGTTGGATATATATATATATATATATATATATATATATATATATTGATTCTACCACTGTATCGAGTGTGATACGATATTTATCCAATAGAGACATTTAAATTTTCAATTTTCAAATTTTAAACGCGCAGCTCGCCGAGCGCTTAACATATGAAACTTTAACTGTCGAGAGTGGATAAATATCGTAATGCACAAGATTTGGTGGTTGAATCTGTTTCTCTAATAATTTTTAAGTAATATGCAGACAAACTCAATCCTTTATTTCAAATGATCTGCAAAAACATGTGTTCTTTTTATGTGACGTCATCAGGCATGGTCGCCTTTTTTCATGACGTCACAATAGGTTATTCTGAAGAAAGCAAGAAAATTTGCCGTCATCAATCGAATATTGACCAATAAAGAACTGAAATCAAACGAACCACACGTTGATAAATAAAAAATTTCAACAGGTCAGGAAACGGATAAATCGTGTAAGAATTAGAAAAATACATATATACTATTAGATCATAATACATATCTCTTTATTATAAGACAGACATACAAATTGTTTTTATGTTAAGTTTGGCATTTAGAATTAGGCAGAACAACGGAAAACAAGAGGACTACATAGATGACTAGAGGCTCTAAAGAGTATGTGTCACTCGACTGGATATATTTGCACCTTCAATTACGCTTGCCACTCACAAACATAATAAACTCGAAATTTACTTTTGAATTGCTATTAATTTTTGCTGTTAATAGTATCTCTCTAGCTTCTAAAGATTTTGTCATGAATGTAACACATGGATACAAATTCGTATTCAAGGGGTAATAAATCTTTAAGAAGTCATTTAATTGTTTTCTTATATTAGCAAAATGTTTTAAAATCGTCATTTAATTACAATAATAACTTAAAGGAGTTATCCAATAATTTCAGTCTTTTTGTTAAATTTTTGTTGATTGGTTTAGAACATAAAAGTTTCTCTATCTATTATACTTTTGTTTAGATACTAGGTAAAACTGAAAATGATTCTTAGAGTAATACCTTCTACTTCTGACAATTTTTGCCGAACGTACAGTAAATTAATCTTGAGACTTTAAACATTTCTTCTTATTTCGATTTTCTCTATCAATAAGGGTTTAAAGATAAAAGAGAAAACCTGCATTTTACCCTATAAACATGTGACACCAACAAATATACAATTTCTGGATATTTTGGCATTTTCAGAAAGTACCTTTAAGTTATTTCTTTTATGATTTGCTACTTCAGCAAAAGAGGCTTTTTGAAACTTTCAACAATGTTCTTGTTTTAGACATGTCTGCGATAATAGTTGGTGGAAGAAAATAATCTCTAAAGCCTCGATTTAGGTTTTAATTCCTTTAGAGGCCGTCCAATTGATAATTTTGCTTGGCGGTTTGCAGATTGTTAATGCCTCATAATATTCCTGTTTACAGTTTCCACCTTTTAAAGCAGCATCTGATAAATCTTTACAATATGTCCAGTTTTGTCTCGTTAGACCTTCTCTATCTATTATGGTTGTCAAGATATAGAAAAATTACTGCATTTTTTTACCCGTATGGGTTTTTTTCCCATGGAAGTCATGTTAGTTGACTAGTAAACAAAACCGCAAACTTTATATTTGATACCCTTAGGATCACCGTCTAATTTGGTTGAAATTTGTCAAGTAGTTTAATAGAAAAGATCAACACAGGACGACGACGTAAACCCAGAGATGACAAAAACTCACATAGCCTTTTAGACTTGGTAGGCTAAACATTTATTACAAATTTAACATGTTTCAACACGAACAAAAGCCAGTGAAAAGGGACAAGATGTTCATTGATACACACAATCAGAACTAATGCAACGATCATCAGTTATAATGTTTATAAAAGGTCATTACTGAACAAATTATATCAAAACTTCTCATATGACATTTTTTGTTATAAGAAAAAAAACATCTTTCAGATTTTAATTAAAAAGTAAAATGACAAAAAAAATGAAACTCTGAGTAAAATTCATAACATAATGTCCCTTATCAAACGGCAAAACAAAAAGCTCAAACACATCGAACGAATGGAAAATTTAAAAAAAAGTATTTTAGTTAGAAAAAAGGTGTTTACAGCTAGACATTAATGCAAACCAAACTTAAGAACAACCTTATTGTGTATCATACAATATCCAAACAACTGAGGTGAATTATTTTTAATATAACTAATAATTATTATTTTACACACTACTGTTAAAAATTTACTAAGCGAAAAGCATTTCACTGAGTATTCCAGATATATTAGTCATTATGTTTCCAGAATATCTAATGGTGTATTTAACCTAAAGAAAAAAACACAAAACCAAAACTGTTTAATGTGCACTCTTTTCGAAAGACTAGTGTTTCAAATCTATTGATCTGGTAATGTAATATCATGTCGTTGAAAGTCTTACTATAAATATAAGCAACCAATGATTAATGTCGTACATAATTAGATGAAACACGGAAGTTTGATGTGCATGATTAATTCATTGAGCGAATAATAGACAAGGTCGACCTGTGATTTGAACGGTTTATATGCACTAAAGAAATATCGGGCAATATTTGCGTAATGCAGACGAAAGACATTTTCCAAACCAACATGTGTTTTAAACTTATTTCAATATCCGTTTTGATTTCCTTGGGATATGCATTTTCAGGTAAGAATCTTAGATATGCTTCAATCCAAATAATGAAGATAGCAATCACATATTTTTTTTTACTATACCATACATCTTAAGTATTTTGTATTAAACAAGGTGTACATAAGGGGTAAATTGTCAATCATTTTGGTTTTCAACTTAAAGAGACGACCGGAAGGAAGAGACATAACGTATACTTTACTAAGCATTTAACGTTTCTCCTGTACACCCAATGTATTTGTGGTGCTACCATTTATATGCAGCCATGTCAACGAGTTATAATACAATATGAATCCTAATACATCGACTACTGTAAAATTATACACTCGATCTTCATATTTACCTTAATTTTGAATTATGTAGAAGTGACATGGCAATTCGGACGTCATCAATACGAATAACACTGGATAAAAAGACCCATCAACTAACCTTTTTTACGATTTTGTTTTAATAGGATCAGAATTTTTGTAGTTCGAGATTCTATATCTTATGTTTGAAATTCAATGTCCTACTTTAAGATTTAAAATTTGAACTCAAATCTTACATCTTTACTTTAACTCGAAAATTTTGAAATTGGTATGTCCAATGAAGCAATTTATATGGCTTAAATTTTGTAAAAACCCTAGGGAAGTTGCGAGTGTTCGATTATTAGATTTAATGGTTGGTGAATGAATGAATGTATGCATGTTGTACATGGGTAATTAGATGTAAAGCAAATGTACATAAATAAATAACAATTTATTTTGACAATATCGTACTCTATACTATACCACTATAGATGTAGACGTGGGATGTATAGAATTTTAATATTTTTTATTTGACTCCTTTTTCTGATCCTGAAATCCCGCAAAATACTGGTAATATAAGGCTGGACCTATATTTCGCTAGTTATAATTGAACGCAACTAAACATTTATCCTTAAAATACATTAACCGCTCACATTACACTTGCAACATATAGTAGGAACATGTGGCTATTTCGCGAACCGTATGTTTGCCAATATATGCTTGTTTTGTAGCGATAGTGTTGGATTGCTATTACATTTGCATGTATGTTCTTTGAATCTATTGTATTTAGAAAATAAGTTGCACAGTAATAAATAGAGTGTTTTTCTCATAACAATGATTTATAAAATAACTTGCAATAACTTGTCGATGAACAGACATCATCTCCGAAGACACATTTCTATTATTGCAACTACAGTCAATAATAGAATGCACTAGTTAACATTATCTACAACATTCGTGGCATTGCAATATATAATGTGATCAATGCTGTAATTGATACAATGTCTATGCTATTCCTATTATCAGTTTAATTTTGCAATATATATAGTTTCCAAGCAGTGAAACTACATTTGTCGATGAAGGACAGATATCAAATCAATTAAAACGAAGAAGGTAAACTCTTTAAAACAGAGAACTTTAAAACACAAAACAAACGATAACTAGTGTGAAGAAAATACCTTTGCTTAAGACCAATAAATGGTGTTTTAACCACTCTATGCATCTTTCCAATTCTGGCACATCAAGGGTAACAGTGAAATAGAAATATGGTCATTTTTTTTACTTATTTTGGCCGGAGGTAAACCATTTTCCACAGTGGGACGTCAGTTTGGTTTTGATGGATGTCATAAAACGCAGCCACATCCCGTCAGAATGGAGAAGTTAAATCCGATGCCTCGTTTAGAGCAAGTACCACGCTCTCTACACGTTAAGAACCCTTGCAACAACTCTGTACGTGACCTGTTGCAAGGCACAATTTCTGTCTCTATCTAATACACCCTCATTTTCACGAACTTCATCCCAGACGGCTCCTATTTCAGGACTTACCTAATTTATTTACTGTTAATTTGCTCTCGTTGTGAACATGCATGATATTTTTGCCACTGGACGCTAAGCAACCAACAATCAATCAATCTATTTCTGGTCGAGTACCTTGCACCAGAAATAAATGAAATGATAGTGACTATGATAATTTGAACAAAGTATACCAAATTCCAAAAACGAGACAGAATAAATGTTGTTATGACTTAAAACAAAACATGTTAATGAAATATATTTTTTCCTAAAATGCTTATTAAGTATGACCATTTATATTTTATAGAACCCTGTGAAACTATCAATTTCATAGATAATTGGAAACGATCAGCAGCCAATAATCTAACAGACAATTCGTTCCTGTGTGACTCATGGTTAGAAGAAGGCTGGTATAGAATTACTAGCAAAGCTGGTGAACGAATGCCTACAGAATGCTTGATCGGCGGATACAGATGTGGCACAGCATATCCGATATATTTGTCAAGGAAAGGTAACCTCATTTAAGATAGAAATGTATATTTGTTAAATGACTAGAATCGATACTATGTAAAATTAACCTCCTGAAACTGAGAGAATCTTATTTAACATGACAATTAAGACTTACATAATAATGTTTGATACAAAGAGACTCGAAAAAACTCACTTGATATGTATCTGCATATATGAAAAAAGGTAATCATATAATATCGTAAATGGTCATTTATGGTGGTTTCATTAATATTTCGAAAATGCTTTTCAAAATTTAAGGTTTTTTTTTTTTTTGCTTTAGTCTCCCTATTTTCAGTTTAATTTCATTGGTATGTTAAATTTTGTGACCATACTGTTATATGAATAATTAACCATCTTAGGTGTAACTACTGGTGAAGACATTTTCCCGGCAACAGGTAAAATTGTTAACAGAACAGCGTACGAAGTACTTGATGACCGATGTGTAAATGAAGAATATCCTATAAGAATAAAAAACTGTACATTATATTTGGTGTACTACCTGCAACCGACAAAAGGTTGCGACACAGCATACTGTTTTGGTTTGTATTCCGTAATAAATTTAAGAAAAAAAAATGTGATTTAAATGTATAAACCAGTATGTACACATAAATGTAGTTTTATGACAATACAGCATTCTACAGACAAAAAAATAATGTAAATGCAATCAATATTTCATATCATAATATTCCATATATAGCTGCATGAGTATTAGTCGCTAATGTAAAAATGACATTCATATGAAATCTGTAATTCATACAAACTAAACATTTTATGACTATTTGATAGACGCTTGTCTTTTATAATCTAGAGTGACTTCTTTTTGATGAACACCCAACCATTACCATGAAACTATAAGCGTTTGTCAAGCAAGAACTTCTGGCTTTATAACAGTATTTCATAATTACAAATCCACAACATAAATCCGACGTGGTTGTTTGTGTAAATTTTATATTCAAAACTCAGAATTAAACGGATGTGTTCCACAACTGAAACTGGTACATGTGATTACAAAAACCTTAACTGTCAGTTAGTCAACTGCAGCAATAAGAGATATCACATTATTATCGGCTTCTTTGCGAGACCGTCCCTTTTAACAACATAAAGTTAAGTGAAAATCATTTAAAATACATTTCCGTATATTACCACTTAACTAATCAAGTGACAAACAACATAAACTTTCCTGCACATACAATCGCACAGAAAGATTTATATTTTAACCATATATCTTCGTGTGTCAATCTTGGACTTATTTCATATAAATTATATGAAGCAAAATCAATTTAAATTCGTAGGTTCTATTGTCTCCTCTCATGAAATTTCAAGCTTTAAGTTTATAAAGAGCTCACATTTACTACTATAGACTGAACACACTTATTCAATAAAATTTCATAATATAAGCCAACAGAGAACAAAATCACGCTTTGATCTTTTTATAACGACTATAACATAGGTACCGTAACCCTGGACGGAGGGTAATGAACGAGGAGGTGACGCAATCATGTCTTCCTTCATACAAACAAGATCAAAAAGGATATATTTTGCTTCTCAATGATTGGAAGTAAACACAGGTGCACTTAAAATACAGCTGTTCCTTTACTATGTTATTCTTCCTGAATACCTAGCACCTAAGTTCATTCCCATGTTCACTCTCTTTGTGGTAGAAGGTTGTGTGGTCGTGGTGGTTGTTTTTGTTTGGGGGAGAGGGGTCTTGTTACACAATTTCAACCTTTATGTGTATAGCTTAATAAACTGATGTTGTTTTTTTTTGTTTTCTCTTAGCAATTCATGAAGCTTCAAATGCATCCGACCAAGAATGCCTATATAAAACTTGTCAATTAGTTTTTTATTGTTATAGTGTTCAATATCTCTAGATTCAAACAAATGGCTTGTTCGAATTGGTTACTTCTCGGTCTTATGAAACTTATATAATCGATATACAGAAAAAACCTTCCTCCAGCAAACAAATAAAATAAATGCGAACTTATTACCATACAGATTTTTTACTTAAAATCAAAAAGATATATGTTATATAAACACCAAAAAATATGATAAACAACTTCAAAAGCAACGCATGATCAAAATAAGCTGGTATGTTTTCTTTTCTGAAAAGAAAAAAAAAGATCGTTAATACTTCAAGCATGCTTTACAATCATATTATACATTGAGGATTTGATCCTGTTTTAAAATGGACCAATTGCACCAATGCCAGAAATAATTTAATAGCGTGTTTCTTCATAAAACAATTAACCTTCCTTAGAAAGTGATGAATATTGCTGTAGATAATAGATATCTTTAAATGGCCGTTTAATTTAAAGGCCTTTACACGTTAGTGAATACATTATATGAAGAATAATGGCGATTCCAATAAAATTACTTTTTAGCATCTTTCAATTTCTTGAAAAGAAAAAAAAAATCACTTTACTATCTTAGGTGCAGAACTGCCGTGTCCAGATGGACAATTGTCACAGACGGGATATTCTCCGGGATGTAGTAAAGGTTGGTATTTTTTTATTATATGTAACAATATTATTTTGTTTATTCTAACCTATTTGATTCGTTCAGACAGTTCACAAGTTCAACTGTATTTTCAAAGATAGACTACAATCTGCAGCTGGAAAGTGTTATTGCACAATTATTTTTAAAATGAAAAAAAATAATAATATAGAAACCTCAATACAGTCGTAACCACAAATTAAATCAATTTCTTATCTATTTTCGGTGTATTGACAATACTTATATAACAATCGATGCCTTTGTGTGAAGTCAATTCATCTTTCTCAATCGATATACATCGTCAAGGTAGATATATCCTCGTATCGACCCCATACAAGGGCTGTAAGTGTATAATATAATCAATACCAGTAATGTATTTTAGTCAAAGCACCATAAAAAATATCATCTTTGCATTGACAAGGTGTGTTTATTAAAAACTTACGTTGCATATATATTTCATCGTCATGTCAGGGATAACATGTTTTAAGGAGACAATATTATTATCTTTAACTGTAAAGAGACAGGAAAATCTACATACATGTATCTGAGAAAGCAGACACAGAGTAAAATAAAAAAAATCATATAAATGTCTTCATACAGTCTCCAGCAAAAAGGACATCTGTATTATATGTAAAAGCTTGAAACTCTCTTGTGTGATATTAGTTAATCTGTACAAGAGAGGTGAAAGATACAAAAGGTACATTCAAACTCATAAGTCAAAAATAAACTGATAACGCCATGGCTAAAAAAAGTAAAAAGACCAACAGACAAACTATAGTACACAAAACACAACTCAGAAAACTCAAGACTGAGCAACACGGACCTCCCCACCCCCTTTCCCCCAAACCTACGTGTGATCTCATGTGCTCCGGTAGAGTAAGCAGATCCTGTTCCACATGTGGCACCCGTCGTGTTGCTCATGTTAGTACAAACCCGATAATAAGTCTAATTCGGTAGGTAACATTCGGGAAAAGGGGACGGTATTGTTATTACGACATTAGGAACATATCCGCTATTATCAGTGAAACGAATATTCCATAACGGTTAAACAACTCGTGATGGCGTACGTAAAATTTACGAAAGAATGATTTCAACTTTACAACTTGGAACTCACGGTTTAATAGCTTACTTGTGAGCGCAACCCTCTATCAAGGAAATCACGGGAGGAAAAACAATCCCTGGAATATCGTATCAATTGGGAGATATATACTCCTTATGCAGGCGCTGCTGGAATGTTGTTACATAGAAATGAAAAGTTCACAATTGGGAAGCTGAAATCATCTCTTTTGTCGTAAAGTTTTTTTTTTGTTTTCAACCAACCCTAATTGTCACTTTCGAGATGTAAGTCAAGATATGAGGCAGACTGAACAGTATCTGTTGTATCCGTTATCGCAAGTTCAATGGGATAGATGCGTTCAACATAGGCACCAAATTTTGAATTATTTTGTGAGAGAATATCATCTATATAGCGGAATGTGATTTAAAGAATAAAAACATATAGAGAAACATCCGTCAACACCAAACTCGCTCTGTATCAAGCAATATATTGTAAAAGACAATAAAACAGGTTCCAGATTTCGGACAGTCATATACACTTTTGCTGGAATTAAAGTTAACTTATTGACTAGGCACCCATTTTGATTCGTTAAGTTGAAAAATAGCTATATAGTAGCGTGTAACATAATCATCGCTAAACTGATTTATTCTTATTCTTATGCCTTAGTTTTAAGTCATATTGCGTGTTTCAATGTCTTTCATCAAAGCATTTAAATGAGTCGATTATTTTTCATTCTAATCAATCATGCGACCATTTCTTAATTTCTGTCAAAGAAAACGTAAACGCATGATTTTATGTTCCGGTACTTATCTTATACAAATTATTTATTTTACAGTGTATCCTTCTTTACGGTTTACCTCAACAATAACAGTCGATATGCATTACGATATTGTTATTAACGAATCCAGAAAATATATTAATGAAACACCAAAGTTTTTGTGCAGAGTAAATGACGCAACAGATGACTATACTTATGATATTAACTTCTACATCAATAATGTTCTCATTACTGATGCAAAATACACAAACTTATCTAAAACAAACATAAGAACAGCAGTTCTTTTACAAAAACACTGGGAGGGTACATTCAAACCAAATATGATGGTATGTATAAAACATTTAGAACAGCGTTATTCTAATAATACAATTGTACTACTTATTTTTACAATTTCTACTAATAATGATTTTAATGATTGGTATATAATGTGCAAGTACATATTGTCTATCAAAATCGCATGTGTACAAACGATTGAAATAAAAATAAGTATAAAGAGAATAAAAAGATGAAAGGCATAAACAAATATCAACAACTATTTCTTTGTAAGGGTAACGAAATAACCAATTCAAAGGGAAGATAAACGTAAGTAGTTTTAATTCCAATAAACTTGGATCTAGAATTTTTTCTAATCATGCAATGTTGTATCTTCTTGTTTGTGTGCGATTGGTGACAGTGGAAACATTTAGTACATTGGGTAATAAACGTTATGGTGGGGCTAGTTGATGCTTTGCTTTAATTTTTGTTTTATAGTTGGATCAAAATAATTAAGTTGGGCAATATGGATGCGCTAGTCGTAGGGCTAAACGTTATATCAAAGTAAAGGGAGAACAATCGAGAACTTTCCACCTTAAATCAATATCTTGTTATTGGAAAATATTTACTTCAGGTTTAATATTTCATATTCACTATCAAAATATAGCTTATATTTCACTGAAACAAAAACGCATTGTTTTTTGTACTTTTTTGTTATTCATATGAAATAAGGGATTTCATTAGTCACTTCAGATGTCAAATAATAGGGCACTTAACAGTAATTCCAAAAATATTTTGTAAGGATGTACTTTTAATTTAAAAATTGAAATAAAGGTTTTAGTTTGCCACTTCCGGGTTACAAAAATCACTACTAGTTTCATTTGATTGGTGACTTTACACGTACTCGTTGTGTCGAAGTCGAAGGGACCGGACCAAAGTATTCGACACATCCGAGGTTCGACTCATCCGAGGTCGAGTGTGTCGTCATAAATTTGGAATGCATGAAATACGATATGATTTGTGTAAACTAGATACAATGAACAGTGTGCCTTTTTTTCGATATGACACTTTATGATTGTGTATTCAATCTCCATTTTTGGTCCTGCATAATAATTAAACACACACGTACAGATACAAATCATGTACAAATAAAATCAATAGTCTACACAAATATTTACAAAGGTCAGTCACTATAAATTATGAAATCACTATCAGAACGAATTAAGTTATGAACGGTCTCTAATGAGCCAGAGGTCGTCTGCTTTACATTAAATTATCATGAATTTATCATAATTGTCCTAATCTTTTTAATTATTGTAATTAATGAGTTTTAAATCTAACGATTCATTTAATCTCGGCTTGGGTCATTTAAATTCGTTTTGTTTTTATCTGATGTGAAACATGTTCAACACACTAACATTCCGCTTGAACGATCAACCAAAGGTGTTAATTACCGATCACCATAAACATGTCATTCTAACTGTTATACAAACAAGTATGTTTATTCAGCTTTAATCTCTTTGGAAAATGAGTAGGTTACATAAGAAATACATCCGATTTGAATTTTTATCATTAGGTCTGCATCATTTGAAAATTCTTACTTTCGAACTTCGAGTCATCGGGGTCAATTTACATGAATTTTACATCGACGGGACAATAAAATTTACTCGACTTAACCGAGTATTCGAATCAACCGAGTTCGACTCATCAGAGGTAATTATGCATTGATCAAACGGGAATTTTACCGGGACCGAGAAATTACTTCGACTCATCCGAGTTTTCGACACAACCGAGTTCGACACAACGAGGTTCGACTGGTAAACAAGAGGGGCAGGTTTAGCAAAATATCCTATGGTTTTATCATATACCAGTATGAGTTATACCAAAGGCCAAATTTAGAACTTCAAATTATACTTTGACATCAATTTCAAGGTGAAAAGTCATTAATCCTATAAACCTGAGGACTCTTTTTTGTTAAATATATACACCCCCCCCCCCCCCCCCCGCCATGTACCATATTTAAAACATTCCAGGGGGAAAACATAATAAGCCATATTATTTGGAGGTGCATATGTCATGTACTTAGTGTATTGTAATATAATGTCAATCATTTACCGTGTGTCTCCTATCCGTCGTCTTATTGCTCTAAGTCCTTGGTTTTGTAAATTTTGTTAATGAATAACTAGTTGTAAATGAAATTTTTAATATGATTGGATTTCAGCGTTTGAGTAAATTTTAAATATTTAAGAAGCAAATCAAATTTGACCTTGTCTTGGACATCACTTATTGATTGATCGGTTGAATAGAATTGTAACGAACAGTTTGTATTGGAGATTATTTGATTTATTGTAGTAACTCTCTGAACAAAAATTATTTAACCTTGTCCTGTTTACCTGTTTCTAGTTGAAATTCCTCATCAATACTATTTTCCTTTTTCTTACTCCTCGATCGCTACTTTTTATTCATTTTCTGAAGAAAGCAACCAACAAGTGAATTAAAGTTGAGCTTTCATGTAGAGATATATCATAAAAAACTTTTAGGCTAATATAATTTATAAACTATTATTTCCATTCATTTGTCCAAATTTTAATGGTTGGCTACATTATTTGAAATCGACCTAATCTTACCTTTAAATATATAATTCTAAACACAAATGTTTCAGGTCAATTGTTCGGTGCAAGCTAGGTACAAGGACAGAGGTGTTACAGGACCCAAATATTTTTCAGAGATTTATTTCGCAGGAATTAAGGTAAAAAACAATTTACAGATTAAATTCCTGAATTTTTCAGCTAGCTCCGACAACATCGATTATATTTAGATCCGATGTCTTGCTTCACAATAAACATTTAACTTTAAAAAGAAGAGAAAAAGAAAAAAAAAACACACATTTTGAAGAAGACAGATAGCAACATCGCAAAAAAAAAATATGACAGCAGTAATTTTTTTCAATTCGATGGTGTTCTTATCCTTAAAATACATACCAGATAAAAAAAAATTAAACACTTATTAGACAAACAGTCGGTATTCCAATGGGCACTAATTGTGCATCCCTTTCTGGCCGACTTGTTTTTGTGCTCGTATGAATCAGAACCTTCTGAAAGACAAAAAGAAAAAGCACCTTGCAAAATAAATTACTTTCTGATATTTTGATGATGTCCTATCACTGAATAACCCATATTTCGATCGGTACTTGCATCTCATATATCCCAGTGAACTTTTCCTCGATATTGACACAGATGGACGACTTCACACTTAAATCTAAGACAAACGGAATGATTTCAACTTCAAAATGATCTATTTCCCTTTTCTCAGCAGTAACATACCCTCTGCTCCGTCGTATGGTGTTAACATATCTCAACTGATACGTTATGCTCGTGCACGCTCACACTATACGGACTTCATATACAGGATAGTGCTCCTTAAGCAGAAACTGTTCCAAACAGAGTTATGAGGAAGAAAGATTAGAAATGACACTCCGTAAATTTTCTGGACACTATCACGAATTGGTTGATCTAAACGATGTGTCTGTGTCTAAACTAACTAATGACATTTTTACCACGTCTTAGATTGTGGTTTTACATCTACAACCAAACGTGACCTATTCCCAGATATTGCTATACGACGTGTCTCGGTATTTTATACATCTAACATTTATGTATTTATTTATGATGTTTCTGTTGTGGTTTCGGTTTGATTATGTGTTACGTCTTATCGTTTGTGGTTAGAATTCTGTACATATGGTACATTTCACATATGTCTTATTTGTCAGTATAGTCGAGTCAATTTCCATTCTCCATGGATGAAGTATAGTGTTACTCCAAATAATTATGACGTCGTCATAGCATATTTAGACCTATACCTCGAATTTGACACACACGGTCATCTCAATACCAGAATCTACGACAAACGAGACGATTTTAATTTTGAAATTCCCCCCTCCTTAGTAGCAATATACCAACTTCACCTGCATATGGGATATACATTTTCCAACTTATTCGGTAATCAAGAGTTTGTAGCTGCCACTCAGACTTTGTGTAAAACTTCGCCAGTGTCTGAGCAGAAAGTTGATGAACCAGGGGATGTCAAAGAACGTCTCGTCCTTTTTCTAAAAAAGTTAATCGGAAGGTACCAAGACATTGTTGATAAATATTCCGTATCAACTTCACAAATAATACACGATGGTCTTGAAGTATAGATGCTGGATACTGAAAGTTACAATAAACCATTAGATTTTATGGGCGCAGCCATTTTATGAAGATAACATGGTATTCAGAATTAAGAGTATGGCTATAACAATCTATACAGCGTCGACATTTTTTAATCATAGTGCTCAAAAAGTGCCAAAAACAGTAATTTTACTAGATATTGGATGTAAAACCGTATTTTTTGGTGACAAATGAATTATTGATCAACTAGTTTTTAAGCTATAGTCTGTTTCATATTTGTATTGCGTTTTACATTAGAAACAAGGGTGGGCTCGACTTTTGACTTACTGTGGAGAGAATATGTCATTTTCTGAACTTCTGCTGATTTGTTTGAAAAAAGCGCGTACACGTCTAGAGTTTGGATACAAAAATCGATTTTTTAAACATGACAATTTCGACCCAAGTGCTGTTATCTAAATTAGAATAGGCATGACATTTTGTAGTTAAAGAATAGTTTTCAATGTTAAATCACAAATATTTACACACGTTTCCTATTTTGAAATGCTATAGTCTGTTTCAAAATGTACTTTTATACGAAAATGGTTTCATTTAAAACTGTTGTTCAAAATTCACCGTAGTAGTTACATATTGGATTGGTTTTGGTATCAATATAATCAGTACTTGATGACATATAAAGAATCATTGGAGTAAGTGGGCATAATCTTCAGGTCCTTTTTAGCAGTACCGCATTTACTCAAAAAATCAGGATTTTTTTTTTTACATTTGTCGACCGGGGTCATCTCTGATAAAAAATTGTGAAATTCAGAGAGTAGTGCGAGAACGTTTTGAGGATGATTTATGTGTGACATATATATTTGTGCAATCTAAGACTATGAATGGCATGATTCTAGAAAGTATTAAATACCGTATAGGTTACAATAAACCATAAGATTTTATGGGCACACCCATTTTATGAAGATAACATGGTATTCAGATTTAAGAGTATGGCTAATTCGGATTGGTCGATATGTGCGCCCGTTATTTTTTATTTTTAGAAACTTCGTGCACTCTGGCATGGGAGATTAGTACAAATTACGTTAAGAAAAGCAACAGAAACCTATATTTTTTGGACCAACAAATACTGTCTGAATAATTTTTCTTTAATTCTAGCAAGGTTTCGTTTAAAAAATCAACTTCCTAAATTCTGTATCTCGAAAAAGGCTATCATTGTCGCCTATGGGGAAATTAATTGTTTATTACAATCTATAAAGCATCGACAGTTCTTTATCATAGTGCCAAAAACAGTAATTTTACTAGATATTGGATGTAAAACCGTATTTTCTGGTGACAAATTAATAATTGATCAACTAATTTTTAAGCTATAGCTGTTTCATATTTGTATTTCGTTTTACATTAGAAACAAGGTTGGGCTCGACTTTTGACTTACTGTGGAGAGAATATGTCATTTTCTGAACTTCTGCTGATTTGTTTGAAAAAAGCGCGTACACGTCTAGAGTTTGGATACAAAAATCGATTTTTTTAACATGACAATCTCGACCCAAGTGCTGTTATCGAAATTACCAAATTCAGTGAAAATGGACAGAAATGATCCCCTTCAAACATTAAAATGTTCACTCGAATGGCAAACTATAAAAATTAGAATAGGCATGACATTTTGTAGTTAAAGAATAGTTTTCAATGTTAAAACACAAATATTTACACATTTTTCATATTTTGAAATGCTATAAGTCTGTTTCAAAAATGTACTTTTATACAAACATGGTTTCATTTAAAACTGTTGTTCAAAATTCACCGTAGTAGTTACATATTGGATTGGTTTTGGTATCAATATAATCAGTACTTGATGACATATAAAGAATCGTTAGAGTAGGTGGACATTATCTTCAGGTCCTTTTTAGCAGTACCGCATTTACTAAAAAAATCAGGATTTTATTTTTTTATTTTTCGATCGGGGTCACCTCTGATAAAAAATTGTGAAAATTCAGAGAGTAATGCGAGAACGTTTTGAGGATGATTTATGTGTGGCATATATATTTGTGCATCTAACGCACTATAAACTGCATGATTCTAGAAAGTATTAAATACCGTATAGGTTACAATAAACCATAAGATTTTATGGGCGCAGCCATTTTATGAAGATAACATGGTGTTCAGAATTAAGAGTATGGCTCATCCTGATTGGTCGATATGTGCGCCCGTTTTTTTTTTATTAATAGAAACTTCGTGCACTCTGCATTATACATAAGGTAAAATAGACTATTTTCCTTAGCACAAACGGAACTGAGATGTCTTTTCAACGCTAGGATGAGACACGTGTTTGTAAGTGCAAAATTGATAGGCATGGAAGAAAAGTAGAAATTACGTTAAGAAAAGCAACGGGAACCTATATGTTTTTGACCGAAAAATACTGTCCGAATAATTCTAGCAAGGTTTCGTTTAAAAAATCAACTTCCTAAAGTCTGTATCTCGAAAAAGGCTATCATTTTGTCGCCTATGGGGAAATTAATTGTTCATCATCTTAATAACGTGTTAGGGTATTATTTTATTTGTCTTTTGGAATATTACTTTCAATGTTTAGTCTATTTTTGGTGATATCAATTTGACGTGGTACTTATACATCCCGTCATTATGTTATTGTGCTATGGTAAATTTTTGAATTCTTGTCTTTCATTTTTGTCTATGTGCATTGTCTATATGCCCTTATGTTGGTTCGTTGTTACATATTTGTTTGTTTTTATAGTGATTAAGATTTTAACACCCTTTTGTACCCCTATTTTGACATTTCTACCTATTATGTCTGTTTGTTTTGTTCACACATCGTTGTCAATATGATAAAATTTTATGAGACTGTCATACGAGTGAGTGGTTTAGCTTGCTATAAAACCAGGTTTAATCCACCATTTTCTACATAAGAAAATGCCTGTACCGAGTCAGGAATATGACAGTTGTTATCCATTCGTTTTATGTGTTTGGGTTTTTGATTTTGCAATTTGATTAGGGACTTTCCTTTTTGAGTTTTCCTCGGAGTTCTGTATTTTTGTGATTTTACTTTTTAAAATAACCTTTCAATACCGTCATTATCATGATAATTGTTTGGACTAGTATTGTGAATATAATTGTAAGAATTTCAAGATTATATATTCGTTACAAAAATATGTCAGTGTTTGTGATGTCCTGTGCTGTCTGTCGTTAATGGAAGATGTTCTTTGTTATTCTGCGGTTTGCATGTTGTAACGACTATTATATTATTTATTTGTGCGTTTCTCTCTGATGAGTGTTCTTGCGTGTGTTTGTGCTGTATTTCTGTCATGCACGTAGTGTTGTCATTTTAGCGATATTTTTCAACATTGCAATATAAGCGAAAGGTTTGGCTAGCCATAAAACCAGGTTCAACCCACTATTTGTTCTTAAAATGTTCTGTACCAAGTCAGGAATATGGCAGTTGTTATAAAATAGTTCAAGTCTATGTATGTTGGCGTTTGTTTTTGTTGCATTTCAGTGTTTCTGTTTTTCCTTTGTTTTCCTCTTATAGTTGACGTGTTTCCCTCGGCTTTAGTTTGTAACCCGGATTTGTTTCTTTCAATCGAGTTATGACTTTTGAACAGCGGTATACTACTGTTGCCTTTATTTATCCATTAAGATCAGAATAGATGTGCAAATTTCTAGAATTAAAACTTTTTTTCTTAACCTGATTTTTGGGTTTATTTGACTGTAAAAAAATAATTGGTGAAGAAAAAATCACATGGTGGTGCACTTCTTATTTTGCTACAGCCATTCCAAAGTACCTAATTTTGATGATTTTCCCATTTTTCATCAATTTTTACCTATTTTTGGGCTATAATCATGAAAAAAATCACAGTATCACGATAAATTTTTTTTTCCCTACTTTGTTATAAAGATGAAGTGGACCAATCTGAATAAATTTAACTTAAAAAAACTATAGGTAGGTGTTAACATAAGAACGTTTTATAAAATTTTGTTGCTTTTTCGTGTCAAATTTACCATGTAGTCAATTTTGTAAATTTGGGATTTTCTCTTTTTTTTAGAACAAAAATCATATTATTTCAACTACTTTGTTATAAATGATTGAAAAAATACATATCTAAGACATTTGAAAAGAAAAAAAATTAATATGGGATGTACATGTATCTGGTAAAATCATTTCTTGTATCCCTCACCCATTTTTTCAACATTTTGGCTAATGAGAATGACTTGACTGGTTATATAATTTAAAAATTTTATTACTCAAAAACTACTTATTGTAAAAACATAATTTTTTCACAGAGTTAAGGTTGATTATAATATTATTTGAATTCATTGATATTTTCCACTTGTATCACATGTTTTGGAAATAATTCTAGAACGAGTTTTCAACGAGACTGAAACGTCAGAAGAATACATCCTTAAGAGAACGTTTGACTCAAAATCATGTAGTATGACTATGTCTGTGCAGCCCAACACAAATGCTCTTGCGTATCAATTTATAGTATATATAAATTACAGAAAAATATAGATATACAAAAGACGGCCTGTTCTTTACATTTCTTATTCCAAACATTTGTCAGCTCCAAGTTAACATTCATCAGTTTCAATTTGACATTTCTCAGTTCCAAGTCGACATTTCTCAGTTTCACGTCGACATTCCACGGATCCAATTTGACATTTCTCAGTTTTAAGTCAACATTCCACAGATCCAATTTGACATTTCTAAGTTTCAAGTCGACATTTCTCAGATCCAATTTGACATTTCGCAGATCCAAGTCGACATTTCTCAGATCCAATTTGATATTTTTCAGTTCCAAGACGACATTTCTCAGATTGAATGTGACATTTCTCAGATCCTAATTGACCTTGCTCAGTTCCAAATAGACAATATTAAATTTGAAGTCTAGATTTCTATATAAGAAATGTCAACTTGGAACTTAGAAATTTCATCTTTGAACTGACTGCGTATTTATTTAAAACATACACTTTAGCAATTCAACAGAAAATTCCAAGTGTTAGATTGCAATCAAATCTTCAATACTAGGGGGTTCAACGGCCTTTACTTCCCATGAGGGTCTGGCACGGTCAATTTCATCAATGAAGTGTTAAAGTTGATGAAATAAGAAATTATAGAAGTTGTCTTAAACTTATACCTGTAAATTCATTTTCCTCATACATGTGTTATCCATAAACGTTGTTCCTGTCGTTACTCAAGACGCATAAACAAAACTCATCATCGGTTTTCGATTCAAAACAATTGCAAAGTTGAAGTGCACTGAAACTAAAATTTCCATAAATTGTGTCATCGACAAAATGAGGAAAAGATATTCATTGACTACTTTATACGAAGGTTGACGTCATACATCGACAATAAAATATCGCAAATAACATGCACAGCTTTGTTATCATGTCATTTTCCCCCTAATTAGCAACCACAAAGAATGATAAATGAAGGACAAGCAATATATTTTTTTATTTCAAACAAATGTTAACAAAAAAGAAGTAATATATATATTTGCCTTGTACACTTTTCAAATACAATTCAAAATTCTTTATTTAAAGGTTGTTGATGGTGAAAATGGAATACATGTAGAAGAAAATAAACCGAAAAGCGTTGAAATAAAATCTACTCTGCCCATTGGATGTTCATATCAAGAAGGGTAAATCTTTTTACATCTTTGAAGTTAACTAAATACAAATAACGATTTTAAGTCAAATGAAGTCAGTATCAAAGACATAAACGATTTGTTTTATGCTATATTGATAATCAATGTGATTGATTTTTTAACCTGAAGTGAGCATAGTTGACAGCTTGACAACGATTTGTAAAAAGATGAAAATATAATACACAAGGAAAATCAAATGTAAATATGAAATGCAAATTCTGCATAAAATAGAAAGTTTGTTATTTTTTAGATTCAAAATGAACATTACATACAATAGTATCTGTACAATTCTTCTTCTTAGTTTTAAATGCTTTACCATAAGAAATGATATGTTTTACCATAAGCAATGATATGTTTTCGTGTAAATAAGTATATTTACAAAATTATATGACATTACTAAAATAACGTCTATAAATTAATAGAAAATGCTTAATCAACTCAACTCATCAGATATGCACTTACGATTACCTACTATTTTGTTTACACATTTCATATTTTTTTTCACAGTGACAATACATTATAACAGAACTTTTCTGTTATAGTCATGGTCCAGTATCAATGAGTTTCACTGTCCTGCAAAATATATATATTTTTTATAATTTCAAGGATAAATGTTCAAAAATCAAAATCAGGATGCTACGTAGGACTATATAATGGGGTTCCAAAATATCAGTCTACTGCCAATAATGAAGTGGTCTGTTCTGATGAAACTTTCGTTCAAACCAAATTAGAGTTTGCTCAACAGAATTGTCGCCTAAAAATACCACATGTTGGATGGAGTAGCAGCTATTTTATCAATGTAACTGGTGTATCGGACGGCATTGTAAACAAGGTAGACCGAATTGTTTTCCTGCGATTGTATACTACGATTGATCGTGCTAATAAAAAGGATGGTCTGCAAATCTGGAATTCAATACATCTACCAGATATAAAAGTAAGTATCATATAAGAAGATGCAATATCATATACATATAAACTGAGATGCACAAATTTATATTATACATATATATACATTGTATGGTAATAGAACACTGTGTATATAACAATCAATTAAACGTCGAATATAGCAGGAGTTTCATATTGTATAACCATTTCAATAGTACTTTACAGTTTTAAATTTATTACATCTATGTGAATAACGTTACTATGTAATAATAGTAACTATTTGACGTTTATGACGTAATCTTATTTGCATATTAACTCTTTTCGCCTCCGAATACTGTTACAAAAATAAAACATTTAATTTTTCTTTTATATATCTTCTTATGTTTTATACTGTTATCATGCATTCTTAGTGTGTCCTATATATATGTCGCTGAGGTTGTTACATTGAATGTTGTATATCAAATGCCTAGTTTTTCATGTCATTTTTAAATTTACGTATCTTGTCCGATGATACGTTGCCTTGCATTTGATGTAGGCATGAATATACAAAACAAACTGATTGTGGTAAGACTTCAAAACTGTTTTGAGTTCTTCCTTATGTATGTGATGAAACTAAGCAAGGGTCATTCTTTCAATCACGTTTGTGTGTTTGAATTAGATGATATTGCATCATATGCGCATGCCTGGACTTCGAAAGACTTCCTTGATTTGGGCTCCTTATTTTGGTGAATTACCTACATATTGAACGATCCAAAATACACAAAAGCTTTTTCAGACAACAAACCAATCATAAAAATAACATTTTTCATTCAACATTTTTCAAAAAGTAAAAAATCAAAGATTAAGACTTTTTCCTGAGTTTGACAGTAACTACCGCCAATAACAGTCACATGACCAGACATAAAAACCGGAAGTAAACAAACACCACATTTACTATCCTGTCTCAAGACTTTTCTATCGTTTTATTAACATGGCTGAACTTTGAATAAGTAATACCCAGTATCCTTGAGTTTGCGAAAGGGAGGAAGACTAACTTGTGTTAAATTTACTTAACAATCCTGCCATATATTTTCTCTGCACTTCGGCACTGTCTCAGTTCGTGCACAGACCATTTTAATAGTATCAAATAAACAAAAGCAAAATGCAAATCATACACATAGCACTTATCACACTTGCTGTGACAACTTTAACAGCAAAAGTACCGAACTTAAGTACTACTGCCAATCACATCACTGATCTGTCAAGACAAAGTAGTCTGCACCACAACAACAGTTTTCCAGACAAGACTTGGTCAACTATTAGTCAAGAACCAAGTAAGTCAAACATATTTACCCTCTCAATAAACATCATTATGGGGAGAGGCAGAGAAATAAAATATAATAAATTAGTAATGACTTACCTATGTAGCCTCCTCCTAGTCAACTCATATGCACCTGAGCCAAATCAAGGTCCTACAAAATACCAATGCGGTTCTTGTACCAAAGCAGTCACATGGCGACAAAAAGCAGTCTGCTGTAACACTTGCGATGAGTGGTATCACATTACATGTGAGGGAATGGAACAGCACATGTATGAAATTCTAAGTAATAGCAACATATCTTAGGAATGCCTTAAATATGGCACGCCAAACTTTTCGACCACATTTTTAACACCACCATTGAAACATCTAAAAGCTTTGTAGACTTGAGCACAAATGAAAATGACTTAGAACATAGTGGATGACCCACTAATACATCATCACTAATTCACAAACAAAAATTGAAACAATTAAAGCAGAAAAAGAAACAAAGTACTGTTCAACCTCTTCGAGTACTCACTATCAATATTCAATCAATTAAAAACAAAAAGCCAGAACTTGATGAGATAATAGACTAATCTCTGGTTCTAAAACCTGGCTCTCAAATCACGTATCAGCATATGAATATATTTCACCATCCAAATACACTATCTACACTAAAAACAGGAAAGATGGCTATGGAGGTGTGCTACTCGCAATCACCAACACACTGACTACATCACAGGTGCCTGAACTAGACACAGATTGCGAATTAATCTGGGCAAAAATAACTCCAACAGGAAATAAAACCACTTATCTTGGAGCATATTATAGAGCACCCTCAGACAAAGGGGAATCACTGGAACATCTTAGTACCTCACTAAATAGGATACCCAATACATCTAGTGCAAACATCATGCTCAGTGGTGATTTCAAGCTTGGCAATATTGACTGGTCAAATTCATCAGTAATACCTAGCAAACCAGATCCTTCTCTTCATCAAAACTTATTAGACATACTACAATATCACAATCTCACACAGGTAGTAGACAAACCAACAAGAAAGGACCACACACTTGATCTACTGTGCATGTCAAATCCATCACTAGTAAACAGAGTTGAAACATTACCACCACTAGGAGATCATGATATAATTTTCAGTGAAATAAACCTTTCCCTTTGAAAAGAAAAACAGTCACCACACAAGGTATTCATTTACAAGAAAGTTGACTGGGAAAAAATTTGAAAAGATTTGAAAGAAACAGTTAGAACTAGATATAGACAATATGTGGAATTACTTCAAAACACAGACAACAGAAAGTATTCAAAAGCATATACCAACAAAGCTAATAGGAAATAAAACTCACCCACCATCGATGGATTCAAACTTGAATAAACTAATAAATAAGATAAACAAATTATATAAATAGAACAAACATGATGGAAAACACCTTAAAAAATTCAAACAAATTAAAACACAATTACAGAAAGACATGCGAAATTCATAATGGAAATATATTGAAAACATGATATTTGACATCGAAATACAAGAAACCTGCGTGTTTCAAGGAGAAACTCACCATAGAAATTTTCCTTGACAATTACAAATACCTTCGTGCATAATATGTATCTTGTGTTTATCTTATACCAAAAAAAAAGCAATAAAAATTGAAAAATATTACTTACAAATATAAAAATTGAAAAATTATTATGAAATTAGAAAAATAAATTGTAATTATTAACAATACTGTTAAACCAGGCATGCGCCAGAAAGTAATTATCATCCAGTTGAGGTTTTTTTCTGTATATAAAGAAGAAGAAGATAAAGAAACAAGCCTCAAAAGATTTATTATATCTAAATTCGGCTTGAATATTTCTTAACATCCCTTTTAACAACATGTTTAAATAAATTAATGTGCATATGTCTTGTATTGTGTTATATTGTTCTGTTGTACTATAGATGTTTACGGTAGGAATAGTGTTAAAAATTTTTAATACAACGGTTCATATGTTTTTCTTCTTTTTGTATTTTTGTATATATTGTACTTAGTTTTTTTGTTTTTTCACTTTTTACTATTTATGTATATAAAGTGCACAGAAAAGCAATCGATCAATGCTAGAATAGATCTTATTCAAACTTCCTCCCAAATCGGCACTGGAAACTGTACGTTTACTTTTCACTTCAACGGCTATACTGCCTAGCATTGCACAACCGCCTTTGACTATAGCTGTTACCTTCTCGAAGGTATTAAACAAGAATGACTAATCACAATACACGATTTATTTACGTTTATTCAAAACTAACGCTGGCAAAAACAAATTTCTGGCCGATATATTTGTCTTTCAATATGATATTATTTCATCTTATTCGTATTTATATATTTTAATAATTACCTGTTTGTGTAGAAGAGTCAGATCAGGACGTTCTGATGACTATTAAGTTAATATATATATATATGGTTATTGTCGACCTCTCACTTCTCTCGTCTTGGCGGAGGCGGCGGCGTCAACAATGTATTACTCTGTTATTCGGTCAGTTTTTAGGGAACCACTAGCTGAAAGTCAATGATATACGGTATTCAGTTGTATTAGAATTGGTACATCTAATTTCCATGGAGATTATTTGGCCCGACCCCTCAGTCATGGTCGATTGATTTTGAAACTTTTGCTTAGTTTACATGCGTCACATCTCATTCCCATTGAGATTGATTGGTCCAGTGCTTTCATTCATGGTTCATTGAATTTGACTTTGAATGTTTGCATAACTTATATGTTGAAGCTAATTTCAGCATCTGCATTTTACTTTTAAAAGGCGAGACATATATCTGTGATGATATTTTATTGTTAGTTAGAGTACTGCCGGTAAACATTTCCCATTTCTACAGCTATTCAAATATTTACAACATTCTACTTCTAATCAAATATGTTTAACATGATCAATCTTTAAACAAACACGTTTACACAATCGATTATAGTTGTTATTTTACAACTTGTGTATATCAAATAACTTGTTGGTATAAATTATGTTATAGATTTACATTAGTGACAAGGATTTAACACATATCAACAAAAGTTGTTATTCTAGCAACGATCCTTACTTGAGAACTTTTGACCAAAGGTATGTCCATTTTTCTTATATATGTTATGAAAATAAAAAGGTGTGGTATGATTGCCAATGAGACAATTCTCCTCATGAGACCAAATAACACAGAACTTGACAATTATATACACAGTTTATTATACTCATTCACATTCAACAAATTTATTTAGAAATTCCAGAATTTATGCTGGAAACATTTCATGCTTTTAGGTCATCTTTAGAACGTTATTTACTTTATAAATATTCTTAGTGACTCTTAGAGTTTAAACAAATATTTTACTCAGAGTAAAAAAGAAGACACGAGGTATATGTTGACAAGACAGCTACATAACAACACAATAGAATAAGAGAACACTTGACACGCTTTATTGTAATGGTCAAGAATCTATTTAAGTTCTGGTTAAACAAATAATGCCGAAGATTTGACGTTAAAACAGGATTAGCCAAGATATTAACAGTTTAAATTGCCGGTTAAAAAGCTTATTTTTAAATAATTATATGACGTATAAACACGATGCAAATAAAAACCAGCTGATATGAAATTTCCATGCATACAACCATGAGTCCTTTAACATTTTATGAGCTGCGTATGAAAATGTGTCTCTTGATCAGCGAAGCTATTGTATCAAGACCCAAGTTGATGAAGGGTGTGCGGAGTTGATCATGGTACGGAGAAAGTTTACATAGCTTTTACATGAGCACGTATACGAATGTTACTGAGAGAAGGCATCAATTGTTTATGCAAATTTTGAAGATCTTTTAAAGGTTACTTTTTAGTATATGTTATATGGATCGTTAGCCGTGTATAATTCTCGCATATTCAATCTAAAATGCACTTTGACGCATATTTAGTTGAATAAAATAACAGCATATTGCTGTGACTGCATGTCTAGTTTGGTCATCCTTAACGGCAAACAAAACAGCTAATCTGCAAGGAAAGCCATACTCCTACAATAAAAGCTATATAACATGTACAAGTAACTAAGTTAAAAGAGAGCGCTATGGCTGGTGAAAAAGTGGTAATGGAGATACAGAAATGACACAATAACATGGATTTTAATCGCTTTATTCTGCTAGGGATTTTATATATAACACTGTTCTCTAAACCTCAGGCGAATTATATTATATATGTAGTGTAAGCTTTGACCGTATTGATAATGAAAAAAAAACTTGTGACCTTTTCCGTCATAGTTACAATAGCATTGACATTAATTATTATTTCTATGATCCTTGCCAAAGAAAATACCCAATGACGTTCATTTTTTTTTATTTTTCAAGGTAGTAAAAGGTTTTTGTTTGTAGATTTATAATATATACTACTTATAAGTGTATATATTGTTTGAACAGACTAAAGTAAGCCCTTCGGTCGGATAGGATTATATTTTTTTTATTTTTCTTGGAACTAAATATATATACCATAAAAAAAAATGTCGTTTTGGTCATATTAGTTTTAATCAATTATTTCATCACGTTATAGCCAATATTTGCTTTCATTCTTGGTACTAGTAATATGATATGTCAAACCGATTTGATCGGATAAGCTTCCAGAGCAATTGTCTCCTGAATATATGTATAAAGGTTCCGTAAATTACCAATTGCTTTAATATTATTGTTTCGATATGAATAAATACCATCTACGAACAAACAAAAAATTATGCCAAAAATATGAAATAATCGTTGTTCTCCTTAGACCATGCAGTTGGTGTATGTTAAAAACCTAATCCATATGCATTCAATGTCTATGTTTGATAACAAAATAAATTGATAAATTAGTTTAGAGATTTTTCATTCAGCGTCGTATCTTAGTTAGAAGAATCTATAGTTAAGTTACGTTGTTATACTCCTGTTCATATGTTAACATATTTTGAGACTCTAGACAATTCAATACTGATGTTGTACATCAACTGTTAGTGGGGCGGCTTAGTACCGAAATTCGACAAAATCATGCAAATGGTGATACAAGCATAGGATTTAGCACATACGTTCTTTAGGGTGTACTTTAGCATATTAGAAGGGTAGCCATCATGTTTTTGAATTTTTTCACGGCGGCCATCTTGAATTCAAATTTGACATCATTTTGCTAAATATTTGAAATTTAAAAACAGATCCACACCTATTAATGTGATATAGGTCATGAAAACTATTTCAACTACAACAAAATGACATGAAAATATGTTAAAAAGACAGTAATTGTAAATATAAATCACAACTTCCGGTTAGGGTTTTAAAAGTTCATACAATAGAGTTGAATAATAATGATCAAGATATGCTATCCGTTTGGTATATAGTAATTATTTGAGAAATGCAGGAAGGTCGATAAAAGTTTTATTCTACCATATTTTCCGATGTATTTCGTTTTAACAGCTCCAAGAACACAGTGTTGTACAGGTCAAACAAGGTTTGTATGACTTGCATCTACCAGAACAAGTTTTCTTGCATCCACATTTGTGTAACTCCTGGAAGGATGCTGCAATGGCTACAATTTCGAATCCACAACCCATCTGCAGTCTCATCAATCTATCCCCAATCTCCCGGACTAGGTAGACGTTGTTCATGTTTGACTGCCTGTCCCCTGACATGACTACCTTGATGTGCAGCTCGTTTGGTTTGCACAAGCAGTGCAGCTCTGGTGGGCGGAATTGTGCAATGCTGTCTTTTTTTTCGTATATGCAATTCAAGTCTGGATTCATTGATGTCAAATGTTGTTGTGGGTATGTCGTTCATAACTACAACAAGTGCCTCTATCAACTCCATGCAAGCTTCTCTGACCAATACAGATTTCCTACTCAATGGCCCAAAACACCTCGGTTACATCATCAAATATTTCCCACGTCTGCAGTGCCGACTTCTTTCCCTTCCACGAAAAGTGGAGACAGTGTCACATCCAGTTAAAGCGTGGGAAAAAGGCAAAACCTCTGAGAGCATGATCAATTTCGTTAAACGGACGCAGGTCTTTTCCTTTTCCAAATGCAACCCAAAGTTTTTCTACTTGTAGTGTCTTGAAAAAAGCTGAGCTGAGCTGATTATCAGTGTTGATATGAACAAATGTCCTTGTGTCTGCTTCCTCGTGATTACAAATAACCACTCGTACTCATTCTGTACACTCATGAATAGATAGTCGTAGTTACGAATGGCAGTAACATCCTCAGACAGAATGAGTGGTTCGGGTTTGTTATAAGTTATGCAGGTTTCATATTCATGTAAACATCAGGGAGGTCAGGTACCTTTTTTAGATTTTGGTTTACTTGTAGGTCATATTATCTGATCCCTTCTAACGCCATTGGATGTTGATAAATAGAGATTCCTGTCCAATGAAATATTATTTTGATGTTGTTGAGCTGGGGTTGTGGTCTATGTTGTGCTCTTCTTTGCTCTGTCTCTTTGTTGTACTAGTATGCAGCTTCGAGACAAGATGAGTGATACTTCATTTCTTGTGCTATTACGTCACCTCTTCATAGTTTTGCCAACAGCTGTTTATTCTGTAGAACTGTTCCACTAATTGTTGATTCAGTTTCATTGTCATTGGATCTCTTAAGCGGATAAAGGCAAATATTTATCACAAATGAAATATTAATGCAAAAATTTTCTACGGGATCTGGTTGTTGGTCTTTCGAACGAAGTGTACTTCTAACAGTTTTAGGGGACTTGCATTCACTCGAACTTCCAGATGGCATTGGTGACATATGGCGTTTCTGAGTTATATCAAGTTTTGTATTGTTAAAATTTTATTCTGCGCAAATTATAAAACTTATCATTTTTCTTTTTCATTGTGATTTCAATTCCCTCTACGTTGTTAAATCACCTAATATCTTGAGGAATAGGGAGTGCATTTACTTCATGAAAAAGAGGGATATTTTTGCCCATTATTAGAAATCCGTCAACTGACGATTTCAGTAGGTCAGTTGTGTCTTCCTGACATTAACAACATTTTGTCCAATCAGTTTCCTAACTATCTGTTCTTTTCGCCATTTAAAAAAATCAACTATTATATAAATAAACCAACGAGATCAACAATGTAACGATAGAACCATTACTGTCTGAATAAAATATCTGATCACTTCTGATATTTAAGTCGAAGGATTATCCTAATACCACCAGTATAGTGCTTTGTTGTATTGAATTTAACTGAATTTGGTTAATTCAATTAAAGGTTTGCCTACATTCAGCCAGATCGTTTATCCAGTATCATTTAACTCCCGTGCGATCTGTACACCATCCAGAGGTATGAGCCCCTCCTCCTTGGCTCGGCTCTCTCATGTTAAAACAAAGTCATCCTGTCGATTCAGGTACGACACCATGACTTAATAATTGGGGCAATCATGGAGTATTTGGAAGCACTTTAATCTTATAAAGCTGACACTGGACCTAATGCCGAGATTATCGGCAATGATCTATACCAGTGTGCTCTGGAAGTGTAAATAAATCACTCTCTCAAAGACTAGTGATAAGGGATTAACATTAAGTAATGAATGCCATTTGGCAAAGTCAAGCCACTTCAAAATGGACTGATACCAATCAATGGTTAAGGACGGACGCCAAGTAAAGACTAAACATTAAGTGGTTATAAATGAGTCCCAGAGACCAACCACATACGACAATTAATTAATAACTATCAAAGTACTACGATTTAAACATTGGCGTGTAGTAGTATGGATCAAATGTAAGATATTTAAGCCGGAAGTGAGTTACATGTATCGACCGATATTTGACCGGAAGTGATTTTTTATTACTACAATAATCAAATAAACCTTCATTCACTCTATCTTTAGTAACATTTTGAATAAAATACAAGCAATATGTACACAAAAGGGAACATACATTTGATGTCTTTTGCCTTGAAAGAGGTCATATTGAAAATCAAAGATAGCCGCTGTGATGGGATGAATTTTTTTCGTGGCTACCCCCTTAATATGGTTACATACACTTTACAGGCATGTTCTTATAAAGTTTCATGCTTGTATCACTATTTGCATGATTTCTGTGGTAAACTGCTCAACTATGTCTACTGTTGTACCATAAGGTAATGTCTTTCCTAAAAATGCAGTTGTATTGCTGTCCCATGTAAGTACAATGATCATATCATATTATTCATATCAATGTAATGAAAGTGGTGATATATAAACCTAATGCCTTATGTTTGAGTATATGAAAAAGACAGTTATACCATGAATGTATGTTCAACGTGCAACGCCTCTATTTAATTTAAGGTAGCAAGCTAAAAATAACATTTATCAACATCGATTAAATAACCGCCAGAAATAATATAGCGCGGATATTCATTCGATGCTGATAAATCCATACTCAATATTATCATAAGGACAACCCCTTTCCAAACCAAGGAAAAGGAACATCTGTTAATTTTTCTTCTGCATGTTGAAGAATAATTCAATGAAAAAGTGTCAGGCTATAAGAAATTAACTTCTAATAAAGTTATTGTAAGAGGAGTTATACACTTTCCATACATGCAGCATACAATCACTCGCTGAGATGGTTTTGGTTTCATATTCTATTTATATTTGAGCCATAATTACAACAATTGTGAAAAAAGCAGTAATTAAGATTTAATTGATTAAGTTTTATTTTTGTAGTTTATGGAATATTACTTCTCCAAACGACTACGGAGAATATGTCATGTACAAACACGAAAGACTACCACAGCAGGTAACTATGCTTAGATTATTTCGTTTGTTTTAAATTTAGATATACAATGTAAATCTGGCGAAAATACAAAATTTCAACCCTGGTATCTACGATGAGTTTTTTTTAAAACAATTTTGACAAATAAAAACATGAAATGAATGATGAATTTCAATAGGACGACATCAATCCAACAACAAAAACGTAAACAGACATCATGAGGTAAATAAAACGTCTCAACATAAGCATTTTTCTTTACCTTTCCAATGTATATAATTCGTCTAGAATAACAATTTAGAACGTCAAAGAAGTATTGTTGTAGTATTGATTTAAAGAGAGGAAATGCTTGTAACAAGTCAGAAATATGACAGTCGTGTTCCATTCGTTAGATGTGTTTGACCTTTTGATTTTTGGCATTTTATAAAGGACTTTCCGTTTTAGATTTCCCTAGGAGTTCGGTATTTTTTTTATTTTTACTTTTTATAAAATTAATTTTGCCTTACAACACTTAAATGTCTGTAATAAGCTCATTATACCAAGTGATGCTTTGCATGTGTATCAACAACTCTAACTTGTACTTTTCACTTATCTGAACTGTATTAAGCTAAATTCTTTAGCAAATGGCAGTGGCATGTCAATTCAACCGAGTTTATTTAATCTGAATCATGTATGTTTTCCACGTGTACAGTCCAGGTTGAGTAGTTTTAAAGATACTGAAATGATGAGAACTGTATGAGTTTGAATCAGATTGATTTGAATGTCATTTAGTAACTTTCAACTTTTTTCGACATAATATTTTTTCTATGGTTAACCTTTTCGTAACAAAAAATATGTTATGATTCTTCTAGTTTTCAAAAAAAAAGGAAAACAAATCAGAGGAAGTATATGAAAAACATAATGTAAGATAACTTTCTTATTAATAAATTGTCAAAGAATAATCTTATTTCTTGGTAAATGTTGTATTGATGTTAAGTTTAAGTTTACTTGAATTAAAATGATGCAGATCTTTTCATATTTTTAGGCCAGTTTTGTATTTGTCCTTCCATTAAGTGTCTCTCTACATTTATACTGCTGCAAATTATTACTTGTTGTCCTTGGTTCTTGAATATTTATTGTTTGTCGTTTTAATTGTAAAAAAATATGATTTTGATAGACAAAAATAGTCCTTGTTAAATGTTTTATCATCAATATATTTGTTTTTTTTTTTATTTTAATAGGACGTCCGGCTTTTTGGTTAATTTTCCAAGCATATTAATAAAAGCTAATTTCATGAAAATTCGTGTCGTTTTGTTTCTTAACGTAGGGCGTTATAACGTTTTTTTTCTTTATATCGAACTTTGGATATTGCCGGGTTTAGATCAGTAATTTTACATTTCATTGATATTGATTTTTTTAAATGGTAACACTGTACGTCTTTCTTTCTTTTATTTTCTTAGGTGAACGTATATTTCTCTCGCTGTATACACGGAACAGGACTATGCAACTGTGCAGTGGCTGTAAGAAGTGCTAGTAGCATATTTATTGCTAATTTCTGTGAAACGGGAATTTTATCAAATAGAAAAATAAACCGGTACATTACCGCAAGAATATGCGACGATCAAAATCTTATTGTGAACAAAATTACAGATAAAACGTTTGAGGTAAGTTAAATTGTCAACATTGTGTGATGTAATTATTTTCGTGTTTAAATGTCGTTTATCAATGTATATGATTAAGATATTAACACAATGTTGACTGCTGTACCCCAATTTTTGACATTTTTACCTATTATGTCTGTTTGTTTTGTTCACACATCGTTGTCAATATTATGGAATTTTATGCGACTGTCATACAAGTGAGAGGTTTAGCTAGCTATAAAACCTGGTTTAATCCACCATTTTCTACATAAGAAAATGCCTTTATCAAGTCAGGAATATGACAGTTGTTATCCATTCGTTTGATGTGTTTGAGCTTTTGATTTTGCCATTTGATGAGGGACTTTCCGATTTGAATTTTCCTTGCAGTTCAGTATTTTTGTGATTTTACTTTTTTCATATGGTGCATTTAGTAGTTATTTGGCATTTTCGAAAATCATCATTGTTATATACAAAACTTCATGTTAAAAAAAGCTCTTTTAATCATCTTTATTTAATCTTTTTGTTCATTTCAAGATCTGCATTTTGTTTCAAACATATATTTCATATTTTCAGGATAAATAGTATTTTTTGGTAAGGCTTTATATCCGCCAATTTTTGACGCACGAACAAAATGCAATTCTCTACAATTTACAGGGTAAATCATAACTAATTTCTGGTTGTATTTAATGTCTTTTCAGATAACCTTCCCTTCTGGAACTGTCGTCCTCATGAAAGGAGACGATTTGGGGACTACTGATTCTCCATTTACCATCTTCAGCAAGATTGATATTACACCTTCAAACCTCGATCTCAACCTAACAACTGGACTCTGCGGCCGATACAACAACAATTCTACGGACGACTTTTTTACCAGAGAAAACGTAGATTTAAAACATAACATAAGGCAGTTCGCTAAATCTTGGCTGTAAGTCAGAAACTGATCTTACATATATTGTTTCAGTTGTTACAAACGTAATGTATGTTCAACTTACCTGCCATACTCAGCGCGACAGGTGTCACGATTTGAGCAGTTTTCTTTTCACGTCTTTAACATGTATATTTGATATTTTATAGACTGTTTTTGTTGTCTTTTATCGGTTTTTATTTTTCATAAGGTTGTCGGGTTTATGTCTTTTACTTTCGCTATTTGGCAATCCCCAAGTTATAGTTTGACATTATTATTCTTAAACAAACCAAAAAGACAAATATGGTCAATTATATTTGTAGGATAGAGAATTCAACAGAAACGTTTTTTAATCCAAAAAGATTGCCACTGTTGAACTACAAAGTGCAAGAGTATTGCACCTGTGATGCATATGAGACAATACAAGGCCAAACGTCTGAACCCAACTTTGAATGTAGGTTAAGTCACCGTATGAAAACATGCAGGAAAATAGAAACAACAACAACCATTTACCATGCATCCTGCATTACATCAAGCCACAGGCAAAAAAGGTCGCTTGAGGAGGGAGATGAATCGCCACCAATGTATGACATGATGGATGATGAACAAGTGGAAGTTGATGACGTGAATATTTTTTTTTTTGTCATGATATAATCCAAAATGATTTTAGAATGTCAACAAAGAAATGTGCAGGATATGTTCAAGTATTTAATATATTTATTAAAATATTTGAACTCATACAATATTGCACTATTCATGCTACAGTGATTTATCAATGATACGTAATCATAATCCAGATTATTTCCTTATGAAAAGATCACAAAATTTGTTCTACACTTTATTGTTTTCGCTCTGATATGTTAATAAATGGACAAAAGTTTCATCCATATTCAAATCAATCAAAACATCTAAAATCATGTAATGAAGTCTTTCTCTTTATTCAAAACTTTCTTATTTTGTATGGTATATCACAAAATGTGAGCAAAGCATTTAAATTACCGGTTTTGATACTTGTTTGGTTAATGCAAACGAGTATGTTCGAATATATGTACCTTGAATATTTGATATTCATTTCAAATGGCTTTGTTATTTCTCAGAATAGTTAACTAAAAAATTCCTTCACTACAAATAAGGAAATGATATATTACTGTCATTAAGACTAATATCCACTAAAGACCAAACCATATGGTAATACACTAAAGACCTAAAAGAATGAGCAAAACCGGTACGTTGTTTTAGCAAGAAAAGGTCCAGTTTATCACATGGACAACGATGACCTTGAAAAATGATATCCATCTTTTTGCGCATGTATGTTTTTTTTTCATTTCTGAAATGATCACATATTTATTTCCTGTTGTTCTTATTTCATAAGGAACACGTTTATTCCATTAACAGGGTTTTGACACAGATCAATCAAAATGCATCAATATCTACTTGTGAAAATTTAATATATTTGTATCATATTTCATAGCAACCTGCAGTATGGAGAAATGGATTGACGGAAGAAATTGCAAGACAAAAATGTGAAAGTTCATTTCACACGTTACCAGTCTTTGAAATATGTGAAGCGTATGTCCCAACTGTACACTCTGTCAATTACATAGATCAATGTATTAGTGACATGAAGGTAAGAATAATAACCATTGTATTAGCTTTAAATAGGAGTCTGCATATTGCACTATATAATAATGTGTGAAAGTTGTTTTCCATCCAAAGTCTCATTGAACCCGTGCATCCGCGAGACAAGGTTTAATCATAAAAAAAAACAGGTACTAACATTATCTTACGTAGATTTTTTTTAATCCATCAAACGCACTTGTTCGCTTTTTATTCTACATTGGCTAGAGGTATAGGGGAGGGTTGAGATCCCATAGAACATGTTAAACCCCGCCGAATTTTAAGCCTGTTCCAACCTCTGGCCTATGTTAGTCTTGTATGTTTTTAATATTTTGGTTCATTATTTGTTCCTGGGGTAAGTGTGACGTTCATTTTCGTTTAGGGGTCAGCTGAAGTCCTTCTCGCTGTATAGAAAATTAATTGGTGGCCGTTGGCTGTTTTCTGCTCTATATTCGGGTTGTTGTCCATTTGACACAGTCCCTGTTTCTATTTTCAATTTTATTAGTATATGTTTACCTGTTAAGGTAGATCATAAGTATATATTTTTTGAGATAGAATTTTCTTATACTTTGCCAGAATGAATATTTTACTATGCTTTTTTCAAAAATATAATAAAAAGTATGGGTCACCGTGCTATTTTTCAAGTTATGAGTCGCTGAAAATTGCCATTATTTGGTTAGATTGTTCATGAAAAAACACATTTGTGTGCATAAAAAAAATTCTATGAGATAGAATTTTGAAATAAATTGTGAGAAGATAGGTTTTATAATATGTTTTAAGAAATTAAAAAGAAAAAATGGTGTCACCGAACTTGTTTTCTTGCTACAAGTAAAAATTAAAAATTTCCCTATCAGTCTAGTATAATTTTTTTACTAAAAGAGTTATCTCTCCTTAAATGGCTCATTTGAGAAAAATGATTCTAAAAACAAAAAAATTGAAATTTGTGTAAATATTTTGTATAATACAATAATTCACCAAGTTTTCTTTATATAAATAAACAGTCTAACCATTAAATTGCAAATCTGTCTCCAATTTGCAGATTTAGGCATATAACTAGACCCATTTTGTACTGCAATTGTACAATCCAAGATGGCGGTATACCATGAATCTACCTTAACTGTCATTAAAGTTGTCAAATAAGCCGATTATTTACGAAATGCGTTTCAACCTGCTGTTAACGCTCGTTTGCCCACATTTTATTACGACAGGTAATAATTAGTTATATAAACTAAAAAAATAAAGGGTTTAATGAGTATAAGATAATTTATTATATTGATGATTTTTGTGTATACAATAGATTCACTTTTCACATTGTAGTTCCCTTTTTCGTAAATAAATAAATGAATGAAAAAAAAAAATAATATCATGTAAAATTAACTGGAACGTTAATAGCAATCATCATAACACCATTAATATCAATTATCAACGTTTTCCTAATATATCAGTTGTACCGAGAGCCCGAACAGCAACTTCTGACAAAGTATTCTATTAATTGGACACCTTTTTTTAGGAAGCACTATGTCAAATTTAAAAAAAAACATTGATAAGCGCTATGAACGTACTTCTCCTAACAATTTATATATGAAGGATGTGTGTTTATTGCAATAAAAGTTGAAGATATGTACTGTTTGAAGAAGTACTATATCTTCAATGTTGATTTAACACATACTGATAACAAAGTAATTTGGTCCAAATAAAGAAGGTAGGATTATGTGATGGCATAGTCTTTAAAGTTGGTATATGACATTCAGTTGTTGAAGTGTGTATAACTCAGAATCGGTGTCTCGTTGGTATGAGGACTCCACCCTCTGAGAATTTGATATGTATTCTATAAATGCCTGGATCTTTTGGATTATATTTATAATCGCAGAGATGTTGTCATGGAATGAACATTCTAAAATCTCTTCTTTATCTTGCATTTTTATCCTTCTGAAAACTAAATCTAATCAATAATAAATGACTAAGGACGCAAAAAGAGAGAGGTTCTTGATTTGAGGCATTATGAAATATTTTTTTTGTGAAGGAATACATGCTGAGTACTTTTCGACTTGAATACAAGTAATAAAGCATTCGTATTTGTTCATGTTTAAAGATTGCAGTTTAATTGATTTCTATTCACTGAAATATAATTCATGAATTTAATCCATATTGTCGTACGTAACTGAGATGTAGTATGTTTAAATCAGGAACTCCTTGTAGGAGGTCATCTCTCTTGTGCGATTATCCCAAGGGTGAGTGGGTTATAGACATATGGTAATATTGGCTAGACGACTTCAATCAAGCGACAGAGAAACCCTGCAAAAGTGGGTCGTGTCTTTGGCTGTGCAGGATGTATAAATTTGCAGGCATGTTCGGTCAGAATTTGGACGTTTGATTTGATGCCTTGTGTAGAAAGAAGGTCACAATCGTGATATATAATATTCTTTGCAATAACTCTCCGAGTTATTCTTTGGTGGACCGTTGCTAGGTGACAATTTTATTCCTTTTAAGTTCACATTAATTTTTTCAGTGGCATATATTACCTTACCTGTATTTGGCAAAACCTTTCGAATTTTATGGATTGTCGATGCTTCTTAACTTTGTACTATTATGACATTTTAACTTTTTTACTCGAGCTTCACTGGAGAGTCTTTAGAAGACGGAAAGTTCGTCTGACGTGAAAGATTATAAACCTGGTATCTTAGATTAGATTTTTCATATACAAAATTGAAACATAATTTGAAGGACCAATCAGCTGCAGTACCTTTTAATATAGTCAGTAACTGATAACCTCTAAAATTAATAAATTCCATTGTAAGTTTATAAGAGACCATTAAAGCAAACAAAGACAGCACACACAACCGAATAACAGCTATTTGAAACAATAACAAATTTTAAAAGCATTTTTAATGTAAAATGTCTTATTCCTTCGAAAAGAGCATCGAGCTGAATAATCGATAACGCACGATGAAACATTGAAAGCAAAAAGTAAATCTGTAATAAAAACATTTTCTTCAGAACAAAAAAAAAAAAAAAAAACGCAAAAACACACACATATATCATGTATCCATGTAGCGAACTAAAAACATGTGGTCTTTAATTAATTTTGAAAATGTGGGCTGAACTGGATAAAATGACAACGCGTATCTTGTTTTGTTATAAATTAAAATTACATATTATAATAAAAATTCTTCAATCTTTTATGAATACAAGTATATTAATTATTCATTGAAGGACCTTATTAATAGAAACTCTCTTTTTTACTCAGAAGCAAATATTGTTGTCACTATTCATGTCTTTACTATTTATATCATTCTGAACAATAAGTACTTATCATATGTTGTTATGAAAATTTTATCTGACTTTTTTAGATAGTAGGATCAGACATATTTTTATATTCCAATATCAGAAACTTTGAGACAATGTGCTTGAATGATGCCAAAAAATTTGAAAACCTTACAGACAAAAAAACTAACAGCCCTACAGGAGAATCAAAAAGTATTTTAACCGTTATTTTTGAGTCTACATGTCCAAGAAATTGTTCTGGAAAAGGATATTGCACTGAAGGTTTGTCTGTCTTACATGTTTTTTTCAAGTTATATTTCCGTTAAAGTCATATAAAACGAATTTTGTTGACATTTTATTGTTATCGAAATTATTGAACCAATGCATGCAAATATATTAAACAAAGTCTTTCATGCACGTTATTTATTTAATGTTTATTACATCTATAACGTATTATCGACAAATCATATTTCATTCAGTAGTTGTTGATCGTTTGCTAATGTCAATGGTTAATAAAGGTGTCATAAAATAGGTATTTTCATAAAAATTCTGTATAATGTCCTCGAAAAGTCGTATTGGGAATCTATAAGCAGTATTGTTCACCGGCTACGCCTCGAGCCAATACAGCTACCCTCCGTCCAATACCACTGTACTTGAATTAATACAGGATTTATATGAAAACACTCATCCAAGAATACTATAACATTGTGTTGTTATTATCAATTCTATTATTGCTATCAATATTATTATTGTTATCAATATTATTACTATAATTATTCAATGTTACACGAATTCTATAAATTTTATACTTTTAAGAGCACATATACAGGAAAGTACCATTTTCGGTGTAGTTAAATAATATACACGTAACAATTTAACACACCAAAATCAAAATTAAGTACTTGATTTGAACGGTTATGTCCACAGGTAACAATCCAAACCTTAATTTATATATTTGCTATAAACTAAAATGCCTAAAGGTACTACACACATTTGTACGCAATAGTAAATAGCATATATTTTCAGTCACTCATAATTTCAAATTTAGATTGAAATTGTATCTAATCTTAAACTTCGTGTGCATCACAATCAGTATGTCTTGCGTTCTGCGTTTATTAAAAAAACTTGTACGCAGGAACGAAAAAAATGAATTTTAGGTATATTTGCTACCAGTATCAATGACATTTGATTAAAATAATATTTCAAGATAAATGTTAGTTTGTTTTTTCGATATACGCCTAAAGTAAAAATTTGCCTATTTCCTCTTATACATAAATATTAACTTTGAAATACTAATCATAGGAAAATCGTAAGTAAGAGCAAATTGTCTTCTTATACTATATAGTGACTATAAGGAGGTAAATTTGAATATTGAGCTTTTAATTATTTGTAATCAATTGTTTAAAAGCGGTTTAATTCTTTTATTATCTTTTATTTAAGATGTGTAAATCTTAAAATACATGCAGTTATATCTTCGATAATTTTGAACCTGTTAACTTTCAATGTATGTAAATAAAAAGAAAAGAGCAGATGTGCGATGCTCGCAATTGAGATAGCAGGCCAATAACACATTTAACAATAAAACAAATAAGAGCAACTACCAGTCTTCAATAAAAGATGTATAAGCAAAGTCTATAGAAATTGTGAGAGCTAACAGAAACATAGAGTTCTGTGAACAACACCAAATTCTTCTTATAAATCAAAACCTACAGATAGTGCAGAAAACAGCTACTACGAGGTTCTTGATTATAGACAGATACATGCATATTTTATGGTTTTTACATAATTTTTTACGATTACAATAGATCACTAAGTATTTGCGCCAGACGCGCGTTTCGTCTACAAAAGACTCATCAGTGACGCACGAATAAAAAAAATAAAAATCCAAATAAATACGAAGTTGAAGAGCATTGAGCACCAAAAATTCTTAAAAGTTTGGCCAAATACAGCTAAAGTAATCTATTCCTGAGATAGAAAAGCCTTAGTTTTTCAAATTTTCAAAGTTTTGTAAACATTTAATTTATAATTATGACTATATCAATGATAATACAGAAGTGCTGACTACTGGGCTGGAGATACCCTCGGGGAATAAAAAAGCGATAATATTCAGATATATTCATTTTTGATAAGATTTGTAAACACGGTTTACCTATTGATAAATATTTGTAATTGATATGAATACATGATTGTTAAGGTATTTTTGTGTGTCCTGATTACCCGATGTACCTTTATTTTTGTGTTTTGGTAGGCAAATGTATTTGTAATGAAGGAGCGTATGGTGAAGATTGTTCACTCGGCATTAATAAACAGCCACGTTTGATTGCAAAAGCCTTTGCCGATAATTGTGATAGATCTGTTAAAGCATGTAGGAAATTTACAGTACCCGGTATAGACTTTATTCCTGCTAATTTGACATGCAAATTTAGAAGTTTCCATGTAAGTATTAAATTTTCAATCACATACATATACAATCAAAAGACATTTTACATTAATTCATAGAGCCAGACATTTTGGAGGCAAAAGAAGCATATATACACAGAAAGATATACCTAGTAATTGATATCTATTAATTTCTCTGATGAATTGAGAAATTAAGCTTTGTATTAGAAGCAACATTTATAAATGCTTATTTGTCATGTCATGACCAGCATCGAAAAACGATTACAGACAAACTTCTTCGTAAGTTTCTAAAAATTCACCATTTTAAATATAGTCAGAATTAGAAGACATTTATAATAGTTGACAGAAATAATGTACTTGTTCAAAACAAAATGAGGCAATGTGCATTTAAATGTAGTATCAACGGACGGCTTGATTTATATCAGAAATTTAACACTCTGCACTCTGAAAAAGCAGTAGTATCGTTCATTATCACCTGTTCATTTGGTTGTGTCCTCTATTGTAGATTTGTTATAGACATTAATACCTACCATTTACATGATTTATCTGTTGTGTTTGGCATTTTTATGGTGTTTCACTAATCGAAAGTTATGGATTCAGTTAAAGGTCGTAGAAAGTAACCCAATTTTCGGACAAACCACATACATTCAAATTGTTTTTATTGCTTCTCTGCTACACACTTATCATTGTTTAAGAATAAAAGTACATATTATTTGCTTTTCCTCATCTCAAAGACACAGTGAGACATATAATATGATATAGTCCTGAATATGCACCGACTGTCTCCGGATGGCTTTAAATTGACTTAATTATTTCCCTTAAAAAAACTAGTTTTCTCCTAAAACAAAATTTTCTTATACGCATCTTCAAATGCATAATTAGGACAAAGTAGTATAAAGTGTTTATTCCGCTGATATTTTTATACTTATTCCCAATATATTTAATTTCTACGCCAGTGTATTAAGTTAAGTAAAACTTACAAAACTCCTTTATAAGTATTTGTAATCTCATACAGTCAATTTATCGCTTTGGTGCAGAGGTAAACTATTGCATTTACACTAAATAAAACACAAACGCAAACCCGAATCATCAAAAGTCATCTTCTTTAGACAAAAAACATTTCATATTTACATTGTGCTTACAAAGGGACGTAACACCACTACTAACGCAGTATTGAAATAAACCACGCCTTCTATCCAAATATGAAATATACATGGTCTCCACGCGGTTGCTTTTAACCAGTCATATTTCTAGAAATGTATAGGAGGTGAGATAATGATATCTTTGCATAATGTTGGAGTATTTTTACGGTTTGCCATAAATGATCCCAGCCCGAAGTCAAAACATTCCAGTTTTAAGTCAATATCTACAAGTTTGCAGTCCTATTCGCATATAGACCATTCCGAACACATCAATACTACCAAATCCAAAATAAGTTTAACCAATATATCAGATATGGCTCAATCATCTAAAAAAAAGGCTAACAGACAACTAAAATTGACTAATTGCCTAGATATATCAAAGTCATTTAAACTTCTAAAAGAAAGAAAATGACCAGAAATATAAAAACAATATCTTAAAAAAAGTCGACTCTAATGGGATGATGATAATGTGTGAATTTTCTTCCAAATTGAAGTGTATCTTGATAGCCTTGATCAGATTGATACTACAGTGTAACAACTACATCATTGATGAGGAAAAACTTGAGAGACCGACCAAAAGCAAGTGTACAGAAAACTAGATTCAGCAAACACAAATCCAACAAACTGGATATAAACAATTGAAACTCAGACGAGAATGCAGTTCCTGGTCAGGTTATGACACCCGTCATGTTTCTTGATATCAAACTTCAAAGGATACTCTCTTTGATATTTTTATAGTGTTTTACATGTTTGGCCTGCACTGATAAGTTCCTTAAGCATTAAATCTGAATCATATTTCTGATATTTAAAAGAACAAAAACTATGGCATATAAACTAGGTTGCAATGTTTACTGTCGTGTACTTTTTGGGGGATGAAAGTGGGGGTTGAAAATTGTAATTCAGCTGGTCATTCATTTCAAATGAAAAGTAAAAATAACAAAAAAACCGAACTCCGGGAAAATTCAAAACGGAAAGTTTCTAATCCAGTGGCAAAATCAAAAGCTCAAACACCTCAAACGAATAGATAACAACTGTCATACTTCTGACTTTATACAGTCATTTTCTTAATATGTAGAAAATGGTGGATTAAACCTTGTTTTAAAATTAGCTTAACCTCTCACTAGTATGAAAGTCAATGCTGACAATGTGATATACAGATACCTCAAGTCCCTTCCATCTCCTGGAAATCCCAAGTTTTAATCAATTCATTTAAATGATGTCCTATTGGCCTTTGACTTATTGAACTCAAATGCACTCGCTGTAATCATTTCCTGATTGAACATTGACACAGGTTTTTTTGAATGTTTACAATTTGAATTTCACATGGAGTTTGGTATTTTTGTTTATACTTTTTATACATTTTTGCATTGGTTTTTTACCAAACGATGTCATGGTCAGTGCGAATGGACATGTTTTTTTGGAAGTTTTCATATTAAGGCAATCAAGTAATTGGCTTCGTATTGTGATAGATGAAGTTTCTATTTGCTTTTGACATTAAATGACACACCAAGATAATTATATTGACTGGATCATATTAGTTATTGATTGATTGTTGTTTGCTTGATGTTGCAAATATTTAAAGAATGTTCAGGACGAGAACAAATAAAGAATTATTATAATAATAGGTCTTGCAATAGGAGGTATACCCGGATTAGGGTCGGGAAATTAGAAGGAAAATGAGAGGACATACATTTAGCCTTGCAACATGACACCTAGAGACCACCTAAAAGACTTGTTGCAAGCTTACCATTCCCATTCTGACTGGAAAGCCAAACGAACGAACGACTTTAAAAAAGATTTCAATGCCGGTCGGCAGAGGACATAGGATGACTATATTTCTATTCTATTTTTGTAAAACTTGGTATGAAATAATATGATCCAACGATTTGAAAATACAGTATAATTATATGTTTTTTTTATATTTAAAAGGTTCATGAAAACAGTTCGTATTCAGTCGAGACCGAAAGCTTTACCAACCCAGGTACTTACTCAAGTTCTTTCTTGATGTATTGTAACTTACCAGAGTCAAGGAAAAAACGTTCAGTTGCCGAAGAATATGTTGCATCTGGATACTTTATAAGTGTGTCAAATAATGGAAATGAATTCACGGAGGAATTGACTGTTATTATCTTTGATGCAAGATGTTATACATGCAACAGTACAACATTTGAATGCAATGAAGTGGTAAGTACATGCCTATACTTTAAGGCATCAATGAATACATTAATATATGTCATGTGACTATTGTTAGATACGTTTTCAATGCATAATTTTAGTATTGTTATAAATAGATTCAAGAAGATGTGGTATGAGTGCCAATGAGACAACTCTCCATCCAAGTCAAAATTTATAAAAGTAAACCATTATAGGTCAAAGTACTGTCTTCAACACGGAGCCTTGGCTCACACCGAACAGCATATAAAGCTTGTTTAAATATAAAATAAATAAACAAAACATAAAAGCATCTGCGTTATATCAATAATGTGTTTTTTTTTTAAATTTAACTATACATTTGTACTAACCAAGTGTTAAAAATGGTATTTCTTTCACAGGATACATGTCCAGCAAAAACAATGTGTAAGTATAGAATAACAAAAGAGAAAAAGGATATAAGACAAACCTATTGAAATTTAAGAGAACTGCAGCTGCGTGGCATCAAAATTTTGAATGATATTAACCGGTAATTCCACGAGATCATTTAGACTGCATTTGTATCATAACAGATTGTCCACGAAATGAATATTAATAAGTTACAGAATATAAAGAGTTTCCATTTAGAGAATGGAGTGATATTTGATTCATCGATTTCGGTATTACAGAACTTTCAATTAATTTTTAAAAGATAGATGTAGTATTTTTACAAATGAGGCAACTATCAAATAAAGCCCAAAATGAAGCGGATTAAAACAACGGCAAATAAAACAGAAATCGATTGGCCAAATTGATAGTTCAGATTTATCAATTAATTTTATATGTAGCCGACTTAAACCTTTCTCCAATGGTTGATTATTTTGTTTATTCAACGTATGATTTGCTGTATAGTTCTTCATAGGTGAAATGTAAATGTTTATGAGAGAAAAGAAAAGTGACCATATATGTTGACGTAACATAGAAATATCAAGTTTGTATTGCTAGAATATCATCACAAATCATTGAAGATCAGTTTTCACCAATGATACCCCTATGATACGATATACATTATCTCGACAATTAAATTCAAATATATTTAAAAAATTCTAGTAAACCTTTCGTTTTCAATTTGCAAATTAAACCTCTTAAACGCAAAAACAAATGTATCCCAATTGCATAGTTTGTATTAACTTAACTACGAAGATATGATATGCTGTAACTTTTGCAAGATCTATTGATTTGACAGTATTTGAAGTGTTGGTGTTATTTTATTTTTTGAAAAATAAGGGCAAGTTATTACTATAAAAAATGAACAATACTTTATAATGTGCATTCGTACGAAGCGTTGTCGGGATTTACATTCATCAGGATTAATCAGAGTCGAATATTTAAAAGCCAATGGTGTACAAGAATCAACTAAATTGAAGAGCTACATGAGCAAAAAGGACATAAAAGTGTGACACTCCTTCTCATTCATTGGCAAATTAAAAACACTTTTCAAGAGAGAGAGAGAAAAAAAACGGTTTTCATTATACTTTATTTTTGTTTAACGTTGTATTGCAGACAAAACATCCGATACATCTAAATACTTTGGAATTGGATTTGGCATTGCTATGGCTGGTTTAATCGTTTTGGTAATTGTAATAGTGTTCGAGAAGAAGAGATTCATTTCCAGGTATTATTCTACATATAATATAGTTTGCCCTATGAGAATGATAAAATTGATTTCAAATGTTTTCATTTGTTTCTGTTGATATGCTATAATGCAATATTGACTTCGATACAAAATGTGTATGGAAGGATGAACAAAAAGACATTGCATATAAAAAAAACTCACCGTCAATAGGATTAGACAATAACACTCAAATCATGCATGGGCGATCACTGACTAGATAGATAATACTGCCGAAGATTGAAAGTCCTTTAGCTATATATCTGAAAAGCGTTTACTACCTTCTTTGATGCACACGTTTATGTTGATTGAGAAAAAGCAATTCAATCAGCCACATCAATTCTGGAAACAGGATTGTTTTTCTATATTTAGTGTCACGAATAAATCCAATCAAAAGAAAATGTTCTACATGAAAGCTAGTGACAACTCATCATATATACCAGGCTTACAATTTGTTAAACACAACTCGCGTTGCGTGTACGAAGACTTATCAGTGGTGCTCAATGGCAAAAAGTTGGACTGTCAAATGAATCATTAACTAGAAGAGTATTGAAAACATTAAAATACATTTGGTTTTGTTATTTTTTTCGAAAACTAAAATTAAACGCTTCTGAAATCTTCGAGAGACAATGTGTTAACTTTTATTAAAACATTTTCATTCTAATGAAGATCAATTAGATAAATTGAAAAATTGGACATCTATTAGATAAAGCCATATCTCGGGAAACGTGCCTGAATAATGAAATATGCTACATTAGTAAACATAGGATTTTTTTCTGAAAGTGTTTTAAAATTTCTCACAACTATGCAAAGTAAATACTGAAAATAACACATTATAATTTTGGTTTTTCGAACTGTTTTTCTGATTTTCTGAACACCAAAACCCAAAACATTGAGAGTCATGGGTGTATTAATAAAGACAAGACAAAAATGGGCCCGTCCCATCATATGCATACCCTACTCAATCAAAATAACCCTTTATTTTTGCCTCTCAATTTGGTGAAAATATGAATCGTTCGTCCATATACTCATTTAGCATTTCCTCACACTTTTTCTGATTATTTAAATATTTAAGTTCCTGTCTACCTTAGAAACTTGCAGAGTGTTGCGTAATGATGATTTCCCAAAATAGCTGAAAGTTGATGAAACCTCAGTGATTAAAGCACCATGCAAGTAGGAAACCTTTTGCAAAAGTTTATTGAGATATATCCATGGTTTCCCCTTTAATACCAAAGATTTGAATCCCCTTCCGAAATTTCTCTATCATTGTATTGTAATATGTGAGTCATTTCTACAAAATTTCCCCAAGCAATTTGTATACACTATTATGTCAAATGGAAGAGAGCTACGTATTGTTTAGAACTTCAAAGTATCACCAAGTTGCACATACGCCCAATTTCAATATACACTAGTGAAATGATGTTGTGAATTCAAAAATAAACTTAGGGAGCTAACTCCTACTCATCAAAACAAACAAGAATATTTCAAGGTTATAGTGGTTTGAAAATGAAGTTTACGGTCAAATTAACTTCAAATTAAATAAAGATATGTTTTAGTGTGAAAATATATGATAAAACATTAAATTGCTATTACTTATTAGTTTTCATGTGAATTTGCATATTTGTTTCGGGACTATTCTCTACTTTCATTTTGCTTTGAAACTGGCAGACGATACACTTAGATGTGGTATATCAGGCTTTAAAACCGATGAATGTGGAAATTACTATTTGTTTCCGTATGGAGATGATGTTATGAAAATTAAGAGATGCTTTAAGGACGTCTCATAAAGAGTGTATGTGTTGCTGCAGGAGGCTCATATCGTTATTTTAGTTATATTAAAATATTAATGCCGTATTTGGATAGCGACTTTTAAAGTAACTAAATAACAATTTGCAAGCACAACTGTGAAATTAGCGTATCTTGCTGATTCTGACTTTTATTAATTCAACTTGTTTTACTTGACAGCGCTACGGGATATCTGATTTATGTGAAAAGACAACATAAAAAAATGTCATACTACATATTTAATTCTCAGTCAACAAATCAACGATAGAAAACAAAATCATCAAAATGTTTACAAACTTTTTTGGTTAGAACAATATAACACATATAATATGCAAACAAAACAACCATAAACTGCTCTTCTCGTGGTCACTATGTAGCTTGTTTTTGGTTTGAATTGACGCTTGATATCTTCTCTCTATGTTTTTACTCAATTGATTTAAATGTGCGTATAATGTTTCCTTCTTCAAACAACAATCTGTCTTTAACTTAATTATATCTGTCGTCTCATTTAGTTTTAATATGAGCTCGTTTTTAAAAATTGTAATGCTAACCTGCGTTTTTGTTTTTTTGTAGAAAGTATGATGTGTCAAATACTAGTCAACAGAATCCACATCCTCAGTATGAAACAGTATCGAGTATCAGTATATCAAATTACCACGAATACTCATCCATTTTGGCATCTCCCCAAAATCTTATGAGAGAGAGCTCTTCAGTAGGATTAGAAAATCCACAATATGAAAATTTACCATAGTGAATATTTATTTTAGGAATATTTTTCTAATATTAGATCTTTTTTATATAAATTATACAGAATGTTTATAAGATGAAAAGTTATGTATATTAGTTCGAAAGGGTATGTTGAATTCTCTCTTAAAATCTTATGAAACTTCAAATTGAAAAAAAATGTTGAATATGTTTTATATACTTGAATGGTTTTTTCACTTTAAAATCAATTGTACGTAGACTTTCTTGGAAAAAAAAATATGTCACCTTCAAATTATCAAATTTCTTGAAAAATATAATGCGTTGAATGGTTGTCTTCCCGTACATTAATTTCCGATATTTTTTCCATATACAGTGATCTTAACTACAAGTCCTTTTTATTTGAAATTTCGCCCACCGCACAATTGCGTGGAACCAGTGTATAAAAAATGTAAGCAAAAGCACTTGAATATGAGGCAGGTAAATAGTAACAACTGACTCAAATGAAAAAGTTTTATTTTAACTTAGTAACTCTCTTTTAGAATAGTTTAAATGAATGTCTTGATTTCAAGATAATCGTATTTAATAAAATGAGATGTAGGATTAATGTCAAGGACTGTATTTCAAACTAGTGAAGAGCACGTTTACACATGACTAGTTATAACTAATATTGTTAACACAAATTAGTATAACAATACATAATTATTTGTTTTATAGCTAGTTATAATTATAAGCAAGCACACACACTCGGTTTTTTTTTTATAACTGAGATGAAGTCCTTCAAATAACTGAAAACAGATCTAACTTGATTGTAATAAATTGTGATTATGGCCATTTAATTAAAAAAATAGTTAAAACAAACGTTCGACCAATTTTCAATAGAGTAACCATTTAATGTATTTATCACATTGGGTAAATTTAGACGAATGAATCACCGTTTTCCAATGGAAACGAAAAGGTTACACAATATACCATGGTATTTTATACTGTGTTACCTCAAATCGAAAAGAATGCTACCATATTATGTCATATTAATTTTTCGGAAATGAAAGAAAGAAATACTTACCACAATATTATAATAACAAAATGTAGATTTTTTTAAAATTTAATCAAGTATATTCCACACTAACTTATGTAGAACTAGAGAATTTTTTTTAATTTACTAAATGTATTTCTATGAAAGTATTTCCCCATGGTTAAACGCACACTAAAGAAATAAATATTTGCAAGAACAAAAATTTGCAACCGCAAATTTGCAAATCCTTACTGTTGTGCTTAATTTCAGGTGAAATGGATGTTGTTTGTGGCGCGTATTAGCTCTGTAAAACAATAAAGTTATTCCAAAAGAGAATTTCGTAAAGTTTCACGTTAATATAGATGGTTATATACATGTATATATGTCTTATGTGATAAATATCTGTATTTCCGATTTTTTTACCTTCAATATTCATTATATGTATTATTGAAATTCTATCCACTGTAAATTTGCATCAGTTGTATGATAATAAAGATCAATCATCGTAATAATATTGTGTTTTACTTTCGATACTATAGCCGTATCAAGTGGAAAAATTATATACATGATATATGAAAACAAAAAAGGTGTGGTATAATTGCCAATGAGACAACCCTCCACAAGAGACCAAATGACAAAGAAATTAAAAACTATATATCACTGTACGGCTTGCAACAATGAGCTAAACCAACACCGCATTGTCAACTATAATAGGCCCAGAAAAGCCAAATGTAAAACAATTCAAACAAGAAAATTAACGGACTGATTGATGTGAAAACAATGAACGAAAAACAAGTATGATATACAGCAACAAACGACAACCACTGAATTAGAGGCTACTGACTTGGGACAGACACACGCTGAGTGTGGCGCTGGTGAACATGTTAGCGGGCGTCCAACCCTCCCCTAACATATGAACATGACAGATGCGCGTTTCGTATACTTAAGACATCAGAGACGCTTGAATAAAAAACAAAATGAAAAGGTCAAGTATAGAACAAAGTTGAAGAACAATTAGGACCCAAATGTCCGAAAGGTGTTGCCGAAAAACGGCTAATCTGATATATTCCTGAATTAAGAAAAAATATTAAGATGACAGAACGTCCTGTCTCAATTATCGAATAATTTTACTTGTTTTGTTCACTTCGTGCAAATATTCTTCATCGTAGAGGACAAAAGAAAAGGAACGACGTTTCTACATACCACGTTATGAGTTTTATCTCAGAGATCAGTTGTTTAATTTGTGTATACACAAAACTAAATTTATTTCCTTGTGTAGAAAATGGTAGGTTGAACCTGGTTTTATAGCTAGCTAAAACTTTCACTTGTATGACAGTCGCATAGAATTCCATTGTATTTCGATAATGTTTGAGCAAAACATACAAATGTAACAAGGAAAGTTAAACATTTAGAACACGTTATATGTTCTACAACCATTCTTCTCCACTTTTCTGTTTGTTGTCATCCCTTCTTTTATAAGTTTCAAGTTTCATTTCGTCAGGATGAAGATTATTGCCACTTCCGCTGGCATAACATTCCTCGGTGGTATTGACATTTTCTTGCAGAGGATTGGCACTATCTCCGTGATCTTGGATAACAGAAATTGCCGAAATTCGGTTTCGTTTCTTTTTACCACAGCGAGCTCGGAAGTGAATGTAGCAGTTAAGTATGTCTATTGCAATCAAGATAACCATTGGAAAAACGAGAAAAACAATGCAGCCCCACCCTATGGATTGTGAAGATTTTCTTTTGTTTACCGAGGAATTTTTCTTTCGTACCTCCTTTGATACAGTTTTCTTGTCAACTGAGATCTCTGATTTTATATTCTTGTTGAAATCTTCTAGGACCTTTTTCTTTACCTCAGAATTTCTTATATTATTTCCATCAAGGAAGTGCCATTTTGTATTAATCAACCTCTTTGGGCATTTACATGAAAGTTTTCTTGGTCTCATTCCTAAAATGACAAAATGAAAGTTTTTATATTTTGTGTAACATTTCATTTGTTTACTTATTGAGAAAAACAGAATAAAAACCAAAAAAATGTTAGTAAACGTATCAGCTATATATGTTAATGAACAGTCAGTTTCAATGAATAAAAGTGCTAAATTGTACTCGTAAGTTGATACATTCTTTATTATAATATAAGAGCGAATTTGTCGGATTTGCAGAAAACGCTTGTCTCACACTGAAAGTGATATTATCAATATTTTACAATGTGTTCCGCATTGGCATATAATATCCTTAAAGCATAGAGTATGACCTTAATTGTGTTCCTTTAAAAAATTCGTTGTGTATGCCGTTTTGGAAATGAAATTCTCCAAACCTTTCGGAGTTTTCTGGAAGCCTCATTGACGTCAAACATTTTCCCACTATGTACTTAGTTTAAAAGACTTTTTTCTGTTGTGTTTCACTTTTGGTCAGTCTGCAATAACTACTGGCAATTAAAAAATTCCGGATTTCTTTTATCTGTTAAACGCTATTTATGCTGTACCCCTTTCGTATCGACCAAGTTTTACATATGCTATATTGGCTGTCGGCAATTTCCAGTTTTAGTTATTATAATCTATCAAAATGGTAAATGTTGATTGATAAATTTGATATCTGATTGTATGAACCATTAGAATATTATTCATACTGGTAAATTCAATTAAATTAGAATAAAGTCAAAATGAAGAAGGACTCAGCTGTTATGATAGATATATATTGAAATTGTCCTTCGGACACGCGATTACTCGTGTCAATTTCTAATTAATATATAATTGAAAAATAAGATTATAAGATTAAAAACATTTAGATAAAACACAAATGGGATTCGATTTATCAAGAAGATGAGCAATATTCATACAACGTGAAGGTACTGGCAAAACATGCCTTGTCAAATGAAAACAAAGTAATTAAACAAAAACAATATAACAAAATACCGGCTTTTCTAATGTGCTATAACAAGGTGATGTTTGAAATGTGAAGTCTGAATACCGGTAGGTGAAGGTATTTGCTACATAAGGCTGCCAGACTTATTATTAAAGATAAACACAAATATATTGAACGTCGATACAATGAATAAAATTGAGAATGGAAATGGGGAATAAGTCAAAGAGACAACAACCCGACCGAAGAGCAAAAAAACAGCCAACGGCCACCAAGGGTCTTCAAAACAGCGAGAAAATCTCGCATCCGCAGGCGGGCTTCAGCTGACCGCTAATCAAAGCTTTTTATACCTTTGCATATTCCTGCCTCTGAGCATGACCGTTCTTCCATGTCTTTACCAGAACATTTTGATCCATTACATTTTCTCCATCTCCTCTGTTTACCTTCGGTTGTATCCTCCCGAACACAATTTACTTCACAGAACTTCCAGTCATCCCACATACTCCATTCTTCATTTGCTACAAAACACACATACTCAATATGAGTATAAGATTGATTGATTGCTGGTTGCTTAACGTCCAGTGGCAAATCATATGAGTATAAGAAGACAACTATTTGTAGCAATTAAAATCAATGTATCAATCATAATAATTATGATGAAGTAAAAACTATCAAAATTTGTTGTACGAAAAAATATATAAATATTGTGCAATATGAATATGATATATCGGTATGTATAATCAAAAATCAATTAATAAATCTTAACAATAATGATAAATTATGAAGCAGATTTTCGGGTTAACAAACTTATGTAATACTACATTGAAGAACAGCTGTAAAAAATATTACTTTACTCGATAGTTTTGACTTCAAAATAAAGATAATATGAGATACTTTGTTTAGTTGTTGTACATGTAGTATGCGCAAATCTCGTAAATGATCGACCCAAAAATGGATGTGCAATATTGTGTCAAGGAAGTATCATGAGTATATAACAAAAATAAGATTAAAAGGGTAGTCAATAGTTGTTAAACGCTCTCCCGTTGGAGTTCGAATTATGAGTCTGACGAAATGTACTTTTTTAAAATAATTATGAGTTCAACTTCTGTTCACAACTTTAGATGTTCGGTGCATTTGACAGTCAAACAAAAGTGCATGGTGTTGACGAGCAAAATGTTAATGAAAGTTTAAGATAATCATTTACGATGTCGAAGTTCTAGATTTCTTTACATTTAACTGCAAACTCGTCTTTACTTTTGCTGGGATGTGAAGGTTTTAGTATTTGATTTTTCTACAAACATTAGTGTTACATGCTTTACACTAGTACTTTGAGTAACTGTATCATTTATTATTACGAATTAACTCTTACAGGTAAAAATTACAAGATTTAATTAATGCAATTACAAACATGTGAAGGAAATTCACTGCTAACATGTTGAGTTTGAAATCACAAAAGATAAATAATTCAATTATATCTCTGTATGATATTCCCCCATGTCAAATTGATCCTAGCAAAGTAAAGGCTATAACAAAAAGTACTCTTTGTTGGTTGACGCGCTTCTGTTTAATTTTTTGTTGCTGTACAAAACGGGCCGACGACAAGATTCTGTTGCAGTTTTGATTTTAACATAGGAAATAACAACATACGGTTCAGTTTAATAACAATAAAATAATACAAGAGTAAAGGAAGTTTAGAGAACGTATCATTGTGGATCTGCTTGACCTCTCAACAAGTAAATAATCGATACGTTATGTTTACTTCCAACCATTATTAGTATTACTATGACCATATTATTATTATTATTATTATTATTATTATTATTATTATTATTATTAATTTTATTATTATTATAATTATTATCTGATTATTATCATTATTATTATTGTTATTATTATTATTATTATTTATAATTATCTTTAGTATTATTATTCTATTTTTTTATAATTGTCATTATTATTGTTATTCAAATTATGATTGTTACTATATTTTCAGATTGAAGTAGGTTCTGTCATGATCTCGTAACGATGTGAGAGCTCCCTATCAGAGTTATAAACATGTAATTTAAAATGATAAATATATTATAAACATGTGAAGCTGTTCCTTTGCTTGAATTTTATCATACACGTGTTGGTATATTTTCAAAATAAGTAATAAACCATATCTATTTTGCCATACAAACTTACTGTCAATGTGTCCAATACCTGTTGACACAGATGTTGCACTAGTTGCTTGTGTATTTGTTACAGTCACAGTCTCAGTTGATAGTCCAGCAAATAATGAAATTATTGATGTTTAAAAAAAAGCCTATTATACGAAAGGCACAATGGACAATAATACGAAAATCCGAACAATGGCAGAAATTAAAACTACAAAAACACAACAAACAGCCTTTAGCATACAATAAAGAAAACTGAAGAGATAACAACTCAAACCCCACAATTAAAAGGCTTGATACCAGACGCACAAGATGATTTCATTATGGGTTGACTCCCCCAAATATTTCACGTACTTAACTACTTTAGATTTAGTCAAGAGTAGGCATATAGTAGTAGCAGAAGTAGTAGTAGTATCATTTTTATTATATTGATTGATTAATTGTTGGTTGCTTCTTGTTAAATGGCAAATATTTCATGCATCTTCAGA